CTTAGTACAGGAACAACAACCCCATCCCTCTCGATGAAGGCGTCAAGTGATAAAACGAGTTCAAGCAGTTGTCAGCAGCAGGCAATATTTATGAATTATTGATGCGAAGGAAGATGTTATTGTAGGGAGAGTGTATTTAGATTGTGTATCGTAGAAAAGGCCTTTCTGACTTAAACTATTTTGAAAGTGATCAAGCTGACAGGATCGGGGTTTCCCCTCACTCTTTAACATTAGCGGCACTTTTAATAGGGATTATTTGATACTGTGTCAGATTGCTATGATTTAAATGAGTACGGTTGTGTATTACCCACTAACTGACTTTTTAAACTTTTCTCAAAGTGCTTTTTGGCTATGTTTGTCTCATAACATGCTATAAAACAGTGTTTCTTTCAGAAATTTTCCCCAGTGGATTTTCGGGGTGGGGGGTACTTCAGATTTTTCGGGGGGGTGGAGGGGGCAGTGCCAGGAGTTCCAGTTGATTTATTGTTGGACGTATTTTTGCTCCGGGGGCCACCTTGGCTTTCCCCGGGGGGGGGGGGCACGGCCCCCCGAGATATAGCTGCAATAAAATAAAAAAAATTAGTCAAAATTTAAAACCTTTTTATTTAGGGGTACTTCAGATTTTTCGGGGGGGTGGAGGGGGCAGTGCCAGGAGTTCCAGTTGATTTATTGTTGGACGTATTTTTGCTCCGGGGGCCACCTTGGCTTTCCCCGGGGGGGGGGGGCACTGCCCCCTGAGATATAGCTGCAATAAAATAAAAAAAATTAGTCAAAATTTAAAACCTTTTTATTTTTCCCATTATAATCGACATCTAAATCTATCCAAACATAATACAAATCAGAATTAGACTAGTTGGTGAGATTCGATTGAAACCGTCGTGGAGGGTCACGTTATAGATATGAGAATGGGGAAAACGCGCGGCCCGCATTAACACTAAACTTTATTTTCATAAAGCGGGCCGCAAAATATCGTCTGTTGGCCGCAAATGGCTCGCAGGCCGCGAGTTTGACATCCCTGATTTAAGTACTCTCCAAAAAATTACATTCAACCAATTAGTTTCACTGATTAAGTTCCCTTGCCTGCACATTTCCTTTAACACTGAGAGCTCACTTTCACTAATTAATATTTAGCTAAAGCAATAAACAAACTTGTTACTGATACTCCTTCTCTCTCACTATTAGCTGAAAATCATAAAGACAACAAATTTCCTAAGTAATATTTCACGTTCCCTGATACCTAGACCATGTTTCCCTTTTTCCCCTCTCATCTCATATAGAAAAGAAAATGCGCCACATATTTCAACAATTATCCATAATAACATTGTTCTCCAATACTTTTTTTAAATGTCTCTATGATGTATCTATGTCATCGCAACCAGAAATATAGCAAAAGTGAGAAGAAGAGTCAATCTCCAAAAGTACAGCAACGCAGTTTTACAGCTCCTTCATTGCCTGGCATCAATAGCCCAATGCACGGAGCACAAAGTCAAGAACCAGATACACACACACCCATAGGGGACAGGGCAGAGATCCCACAGGAACTGTTAGACAATGTGTTAGATAAAGTAAAACAGGAAATGAAATCAGTAGAGAAAAAACAACAGGAACAAACAGAAAGGGACAAAGTCCTTAAAGCACAAATGGAAGAATTCTTTAAGGCAAGTAGAGAAATGCAAGAGAAATTAAATGAACAAACAGAGCAGAGGAGAAGAGAAAAAACTGAAATGGAACACAAGGAACTGACGGAACAGAAAGAAATGCTGATAAAAGAAAGGGAACTTGCCGAAAAATTGGAAAGAAAACAGAGAAAACTAGAGGAAGAATTAGACAGAAAACATATGGAGGATAATATAAAGTTGATAACAATGGAAAATGAGATCATGCAATTAAAACAGATGGCAGAAATTCAGCAGAGAGAAGAAATAGAAAATTTGCAAAGACAGCTTAAACAAAGGAAAGAAACCCAAGAAAGGGAAGAAAGCCAGAGAAGAGAAGAGGCCCAACAAAGGGAAGAAGCTCATTTTAAACTACTGGAAACAATACGCAGAGAACAATTGGAGCAAAAGGAACAATTTGAAAAAGTCCAAAAAGAACTGGAAGAGCTAAAATTGAAAGAAGAGGGCAGACAGAGGGAACTGGTGGAACAGAAACAAAGGGAGATTAAACAAAGGGAAGAAATGCAACAAAGAGAAGAAATGCAACAAAGAGAAGAAATGCAACAAAGAGAAGAAGCCCAACAAAGGAAAGAAGCTCAAACGAAGCTACTGGAAAAGATACGCATGGAAAAAATGGAGCACAATGGAAAAATTGAACTAATTGAGGGAATGGTGTGTATTAGCAAAGCACATACATTTTTACCAAAGAGGGACACAGGGATATTTGACAATTGTTATCGTAATGAAGACACACGATTACAATGTTCTCATGGTGTTCAAATAACGGATGAGAAACCTCGAATTGCCTTTCTTAAGACAAATGAAAGTGAACAAGAGCAACAATTTCACAATGGTAAGTTGTTGTTGTTTTTTTTTTTTTAAAGATACGATATCAAAATATATTTCATTTGTAGTATTTGTTTAGGATTTGTCAGAATAACTTAATCATCACAAAACAATGCTTGAAATATTTTAACTCTAACAAAACGAATGACTTAAACTTTTAAGAAGTCAAATATTTTAACACTAACAAAACGAATGACTTAAACTTTTAAGCAGTCAAATATTTTAACACTAACAAAACGAATGACTTAAACTTTTAAGCAGTCAAATATTTTAACACTAACAAAACGAATGACTTAAACTTTTAAGCAGTCAAATATTTTAACACTAACAAAACGAATGACTTAAACTTTTAAGCAGTCAAATATTTTAACTCTAACAAAACGAATGACTTAAACTTTTAAGCAGTCAAATATTTTAACTCTAACAAAACGAATGACTTAAACTTTTAAGCAGTCAAATATTTTAACACTAACAAAACGAATGACTTAAACTTTTAAGCAGTCAAATATTTTAACACTAACAAAACGAATGACTTAAACTTTTAAGCAGTAAAATATTTTAACTCTAACAAAACGAATGACTTAAACTTTTAAGCAGTAAAATATTTTAACTCTAACAAAACGAATGACTTAAACTTTTAAGCAGTCAAATATTTTCATGGATAAAAATATAAACAAATATTAATCTACGAAGATTCTTTTATGGTTATTAAAAACAGCAAAGCAGACGAGAATGGCAACTGAAACAAATGATTTTTTTTATTTTTATTTTTTTCAAAAATGAAGAGCAGCCTGACGCTCATCCTCAAGATCGATGTAATCAAACTGGCTGGCAAGCTTCACAAGATCTAGTTCAGGAGGCTCACCAAAGCGAAGAATTTGAACACGTTTACTTTCCAGCTGGAAGTTTCCATGGGGAAGATGATGAACTAGAGGTAATGTCAAGCTCTTATTCGTATTTTTAGGAGATTACATAGTCGGGTGAAAGCTCAACCCCCAACAGAACATCTGGAAATTGAATTATTCGCTTGATGAAATTTTATTTCAAATCCTGTGCCCCCCCACCCCCAACCCCTTGAGCATGCACTTGATATTCTATTGGATTCACCTGCTGATTAAGGAAATTGGGATTTGCTTAAGCGAATGTTACATCTATTATTTTTTTCTGTAACTGTAAAGCATAATATATCATAAAGTATAGATAAAGCATACAAATATAAAGAATTTTCATGATTGCGAATCTTCAACAAATAATATTGATAAATAACTTTTTTTTTTTTTTTTACCAAACATTTTATTTTTCTTAATTTCTTCCATAATTTATTTTTATTTATACACATGTTTTTTTTTTTTAAATTAACTTTATCAGAACAAAATAATAATATATCATAAAGTATAGATAAAGCATACAAATATAAAGAATTTTCATGATTGCGAATCTTCAACAAATAATATTGATAAATAACTTTTTTTTTTTTTTTACCAAACATTTTATTTTTCTTAATGTCTTCCATAATTTATTTTTATTTATACACATGTATTTTTATTTTAAATTAACTTGATCAGAACAAAATATCTCCTTGACAGTTAATTTCTGCAAATTGCCAAATTTTTCAATGTGAGATTGGTATCGAAAAATGTGAACGTTTTAAAGCCTGGGGTGACTTGAAGATTCTTCAAAATCTTTCAGAAATCCAGTTCAGAATAATTATGATGGAAAATCAGGTAAGAAATTAATGTTAAGATCGGGATATCTTTATTTTTAAAAATTAAAATTTTTAAAGTTAACAGCGGCATATTTCTTTACAATTACTGCTTTAAAAAAGCATACAAACAAAAAATTTCTACACTTGTTGTAATACAAAATTAGTGAGAAGTGGAAATAATGTCTAAATTGAGTTTGATACTTATGTAATTAGGTCTAATTAAACTAATTTTCCCAACGTCAGCTTCCAGCACATCCATTGGGTGCAATGTGATATTTCAGGGAGTGCGAAGAAATTAAAAATGTTATTTATCTAACGAGCTACACTTTTTATTTCTAGCTTCTATTGTTCTTTTTGTAATTAAATTTTAAAAAAGTCCATTTTTTGTTTCCGTTGAAGTCCAAAACTCAGTCATGCATTTTGAGTATGTTATTCTGCTTTATTAATAAGAATTACTCAATTAGGAGTAGATTAATATTTATAAACCAATACATTTTTTTTGTTCCAAATATGTTTTACACAGAGCAACACAGTGTGTGCTGACCATATCATCACACCAGACATGAGACTGTTAATATTGTCAAATTCTGAGTGCATGGTTTGTTATGAAGCACTTGATGTCTCTGGAGAGAAGAATACATTGGAGCTATTTACCATCAAGTTTAAAAACAAGGAAACTGCAGAACAATTCCATGAGATGTTCAATGATTGCCTGAGCCATGTGCAGCAAAACGTTAATTATGATTCAAGTGCAGTTGATAGCAGTAAATCAGTTTATGAAATAAGAGACCAATTTCAAGAACAGTTGTTTCATGCCTATAATACTGTTGAAGATGAGGGGAGTGGTACCTTAGACAGTGGAACCCACCAAAAATGTCATTTTGAAAGTGCAATCACAGAACAGAGAGGTAAAAATAGAAGTTTTCACAAATAAACCAATTCAGTGGCGTGGCAAGGGTTGGTGTCACCTGGTGAGGTAAACTAATGGTGTCACACCCCCACTCCCCCCGATTTCCACGATGGATTTCCTCAAGTTAAAATAACTCTATAGTATAAGAACGAAAAGAGCAAAAAGAAATTAATTAAAGGTTAGGAGGTGAAAATATTTAAGAACTGTAACAGCGATAAGTAATATTTATTTTCACATAAAATTTACTTAATTACAAATTTTCCTAAATCAATATCCTTCACTGAATCACTTTCAATTGATAGAAGAGCCAGATCAGAAATCCTTGACTGTCCCATGGTGTATCGTAAATAGTTCTTGATAAGCCTTAGTTTTGAAGAGCTCCGCTCACATGAAGCCACAGACAAACAGATCATAAGAAACAATGGAAGGCTTAGGGAGAGTACTGGAAGAGGTTCAAGGAAGTCCCATTCAGCTATGAATTTCAAAACATCAAACACTGATCAGTCCATTCAATATCAGTTGCCTTTAGGTGTCTTCTTAGCCTTAGTATTTCTTTCAAAAATTCATCCTCTGATAACTCATCATAGAAAGAGGTTAATTTTGGAACGGATACCAATAACTCTTCTTCACTTGCTGATTGTAGACTATTGGGTTGAACACACCCCAAACATATATGCTACTTCCTTGATCGCTAATGATCTGAAGTTCAGAATGAAAGCGATTTATACACTACTTCAGCATTTCCCTTCTGTTTCTTCGTTTGTTCTCCCGCCATTCTCTCCTTAAACCTTAATATTCCCTCAAACCAAATTTCCATATAGATTTGATTTTAAAAGTGCCTTTTCAATAGCATGTTCCACCAAGTGACAGCGCTTCTCATGCAGAAACAATCTTAAGACCTCTAGGTTGGTCACCAATTTGTCAAGAGTAAAGCCTTTGGTCTTCAGATACTGCTGTGTAAGACTAACTTCCTCAAGTAAATAAACGCGATATTACAGACAACAATTAATAGACATTTTGCTGTATGACAATCGTGCTCAAATGGTAAATGACGAATCGGTGAAAATATTAATTTTTGAGTATTTCTGTGTTTCGATATATTTGGTTTCAAAACCCTTTTTATTAAAATTTAAATAAAATATTAAAGAATATTCGAACATTTTGTAAAGTATTATTTTGCTAACACTATAAATGGATAAAAAAAATCATTTTTAATGTTTTTATTTTTACCGATTCAATTCATTTACTTAGAATCGCCCGACCGCATCGTATTTGGTATCAATGGAAAGCGATATTTTTCAGAAAATTGATATAAATATAGCTTCCTGTCACTTATGAAAGTAACCGAACACAGTTGGCGTTAAATGATGATCAAAACGGTGTTGTTTTGACCTAATTATAGTGTCACCACATTTCTGACACATAAACCTTGAACTTTTAATAAATCACACATTTGGATTGGTTACATGTGTGAAAAATGTAAGTGTGATCGGTTACCCTTTGATGAATTTAATTTAACCAAGCAATGTGTTCTCTGTTGAATTTGGTGTCACCCCCGAAGTGGTGTCACCTGGTGTGGTCCGCGTCCCTCCGCGCACCCCCCTCGCTACGCCACTGAAACCAAAACAGTACCATTAAAAGTATTAATGAAGACACTGTCAATAATTATTTATAACTGTAATAGTAATAAACATGGAAGGTAAAAGTAACAGATTGTAATATAAAAATAAATGTTGATGAGGACAAAACGATACTTTCAGATAATAATGATGACCTACCATTTTTTGAAATCTGTGTATGGTGGCAATCCAGTCAATGTTCACAGTTTAAAAATAAATACTTGGTCCACTATACCATTTGTTTTATGTGACGTACATAGAACTAATGTAGTTTATAAAAAATAACACAAGAGAGAATCTATAAAATTTTAAAATGATAAAAATGTAAAAGTTTAGCACAGATAAAAAAAAGGTATCAAATTCTAAAAGAAATGATAAAAATTTTGTAACACCGAAAAAAAAATAACTTCACCAAAAAAGCAATTAAGACTAGCCAGGTACAAATACAGACGTCACAATTGACACACAGGTGAATCAGACAGTTACAAATAGAGATGTAAAAATGTACCCACATGTGACTTTGACAGCCATAAATGTGACATTCCATAAAATAAGTTAGTTACAAATAGAGATGTGACAACTGACACACCAGAAAATAAGACACTTACAAATGCATAACTTAAAAGTGACAAACCATTATTTCACCATATTAAAATATACAGTGCATTTTGGAATTACAGGGCAATGTAAAAATACAAGACATTTGGGACCTCTAGGAAAATATGGAGATACAGGATTTGGAGAAAATACAGGTCTTAGGAGATCTACAGGAATCTTTGAAAATAGTGTATTTACAGAAAATTCTGCACAATGTAGAGCCACAGAATTTTCGATCCCAGCTGATCAATCAGGCATTTTTGGACAAGAGAGAAATGAAGAACAGAGTGACATCATTTCACAATGTAAAAGTACAGCACAGATTGAAAATCTGGCACCACCGGTCACTTTAGGAAGATGTCAAAGTACCGGTCAAGGAAAAATAGCATGTCCGGGGGCATTTACTGAAAATACGGCACCACTGGGGGTTAAAGGAGAATGCCAACGTACTGGGCAAGTAGGGGTAGCAAGTCTAGGGGCATTGACCGAAGATATGGGAGATTCGGGGCGGTCTGAAGATACAGCACAAAGTCCAACAACAGGACCATTTAGCAATACGGGACCAGAGGAAACAACGTCACAATTTAGTAAAGGACCATTTAGCAATACGGGACCAGAGGAAAGCACGTCACAATTTAGTAAAGGACCATTTAGCAATACGGGACCAGAGGAAAGCACGTCACAATTTAGTAAAGGACCATTTAGCAATACGGGACCAGAGGAAAGCACGTCACAATTTAGTAAAGGACCATTTAGCAATACGGGACCAGAGGAAAGCACGTCACAATTTAGTAAAGGACCATTTAGCAATACGGGACCAGAGGAAAGCACGTCACAATTTAGTAAAGGACCATTTAGCAATACGGGACCAGAGGAAACCACGTCACAATTTAGTAAAGGACTGTTCAGCAATATAGGCGCTGGGGAAATCCCATCAAAATTTAATGCAGGACTATTTACCAATAGAGGACCAGGGGAAATCCCATCACAATTTAATGCCGGACTATTCACCAATGGAGGACCGGGGGAAATCCCATCACAATTTAATGCAGGACTATTTACCAATAGAGGAACGGGAGAAATCCCATCAGAATTTAATGCAGAACTATTCACCAATAGAGGACCGGGAGAAATCCCATCACAATTTAATGCAGGGCCATTTAGCAATAGAGGACCAGGGGAAATCCCTACATTATTTAGTACAGGACCATTGACCAGAGCAGGACCCACAGGTGATCACAGGAAAAGGAGTGAGAAAAAGAAAGTTTTAAAGTCTCTGAAGCAGGAAAAACCGTGAATGGGGAACATTACAAGTTTATTAATCATTAATATTGAAATACACACTTCAGTTATTCAGATTTTTTATTAATTTTTTTCCATTGTCATTTTTATATGACAACCTAAAAAAAAATTGAAAATAATCAGAATAATGGAAGACTATATTTCAGTAAGGTAACGTAATATATTATGATGAGATTTAAGAAAAATTGAACATATTTTTATGATATGCGTGTGAAAGATGGGCCCGTCCGTAGCACAACACTACCGACTGCAGGTTAAAACAAATTTTGAAATGTTGACAGGGGCTTTTCTTTTAAAAATTATTTGCCTAATTATCTTATATTTTATAACTGGTTATGTAAATTTTTTTATAACTATGCAATTCATAATGTTATAAAAAGTGTGTGTGTGTGTGTGTTCTTCAACGCAATAAATCTAGGCCCAGAGGCGTGTCGTGACTTTGGAGGCCCCCTGCTCATTTTCGTGGGTTTTTTTTCTGCCCCATATAGTTTACACTTTATTCTACATTACATCTTTGGGCCCCTTAAATATCTGAGGCCCCCTGCAGGGCTCTCGCGATATCGCTGTCTAGGCCTGCACATATAGAATTGCCGGTAGTGATGTAGATCTATGCAAATAAAGTTGTTATTTTTAAAAATTAACTGATGAGGTTGTGTTCTCATTAGTAAAGGCAGGTTGAGGCCGTGTGAAGAGTTTTGATGGTGTGAAAGCCAGTTTATCTACACATCATTAATAATTTAATGTCATGGTGTAAAGTAGTTGCTGGCTCGCTACTGCCTAAATATTCCGACGATAGATATCCTTACACTTACATGTACGCAGTGGCCTAGCCAGGTTTTAACAGGAGGCAAAACAAATTAAAATTTAAAAGACAAAAAAAAAAAAAAAAAACCACAAAAAAAAAATAAAACAAAAAAAAAAAAAAAAAAAATAAACAAAAAAAAAAACAAAAAANTAAACTCCCCTCCGTACTGCTAGTTTGTTCAACTAAAATTGCTATGAGGTAAATCAAACGTGAGCCGTCAAGTGGAACAGAAAAAGCAAGGCCGATCCCTGGAAATGCTGATGGTAGAAAAATACATACTATTTAATAAATTTAAAGTACCGTTTATTTTTCACCTCTTCAGACTTAATTAGTAAACCAAGTGTCTACATGTCCGGCGACTGGACGAATAAGTTCTCGAGATATTCGTCCGACGACCATGTCATATATTTCATAAATTTTTTTTATTGCCGGCCACTAAGCGTCATTCAGTAACTGCTAGTTATTGGTTCTCAAGTGAGTTACTCTTGCTACAGGTAATATTTCGCGGCACCCGTGTGAGAAATCCTCAACTTGGCAGGGCCGTGTCGAGGACAATCGGCGCCCTGAGCGAATCCTGCGTATAGCGCCCCTGCATGAATACAGAACAAATTCGGCTTCGGGACGGACAAGTAAAGGTACGAATTTGAGCGTCTGTTGTGTTCGTGACGTAAATGGGATTTTATAGTTTGATTGCCTTTATATGGTTTTATCTTAAGACCATTTTGACGCCCCCCTAATGTTGGCACCCGGACGAGTAGTCATACCTCTTTCGCCCCCTCCCTTATGGCCTTAACCCGATGTTAATACGCCACTCAAAGTTGACGCACTGCATATTCTGAGAACCAATGAGCTTGTCAAACATCTGTGAAAACTGGTTTGACGTCATAGTTTGTTTTTTTTGCGTGGGGGTCCGTAGCATAGCTCATTGTACGTAAACATGTGGAGTGTCCACACACACACAAAAATTACGCATGCAAGTGGTGTAGGAGGGTCGAAATTTGACTACGTACGTTCTATGTGAATGCGTCGTTCTATTCTTACTATCACTGAATAAACTCAATTCCTTTTCATAACAGTTATAAATTTAATATCTAAGTATCTATACATATAACACACGAATTTAACGCTGCTCGCTATCAGAAATAAATAATACACATTCTACCACTCCAAAGTTCCACTCAAGACTGCCTGTTATACAGAGCTTGTTTACATAATTTTCTCGTGCGTGCCCTATGATTGACCCCGCATGTGACGCTGTGTTCACAGAGGGGTGTGGCTTAGTCCTTTTATCTATTCGTGTTTATGCCGCCAACCACTAAAAATAATTAATCTGTTCCAAATAGTATTTTGTAGAATGAATGTGATTGTTCTAGAAATGCCATGTAGCTTATCGAAGGCAAGGCGTAGGCGTCGGTAGACCCACCTATATAAGGGATTGACAGGCACGGACGAGGGAACGGAGATTCAGAGAGATTTTATTAACTTTAAGAGGCGTGTTTTATTCTTTGTGTCTTTGTGTGCTCATATGTGTTTATTTCGCATTATTTATTGGCACATTATTCTAACTGTGTTAACTGTGTACCGGTACAAGATCTACCATACTGTAAGTTGAAGATTGTAATTATATTTTCTTTTCTTTTGTAATTATCTTAAGACTTAATAAATCTTATTAATTGTAACTAGAAACTGTTTTGGGTCGTATCTTTAATATTGTTGATTCTATGGTATCGTCCTTTGTTAGGCATTGTTTACAACGAGCCAATTAAAATTAAAATAGGAGATTAATTTCTCCCAACACAAGTCAGTGCGTAACACTGCCAAACGACTAAAACATACGTCACAACACTGTCTAAACAATACGTCACGAATCAGCATAAAATACGCCAAAGAGATAAACGCTGGAAGAGCGTTCATTAACTAAAAGAGACGAGCGCGGGAAAAGCGTTTAATAACAAATGAACATAATATTCAGTCGCAAATATTACTAATGAACTCCCATGCTTGATACCCCTCTATCAGAAAGTTTCCATGAGACAAAAGATGAACATGATTTGTGAGGTTTTAATTAGTATAATATGCAGGGAATGGGCAGAAGGGATCGGTCGAGCTTTTGGTGAATGGACTAAACAAGAAATATCACTGATTTCAAGCCAGAATGATATTTATTTTACCAAAAAATGGTAGACTGGTGTTTTATTTTTAGAATCAAATTAAGGGAATATATGTAAAGCTTCAGTGATGAAAAGGGCGTACAATTGTTTAATTTTTATTAAAACGGAAAGACATTTTTTGACAGTTAATATCCCCAAGGTGCCTGAAGTTACGATCCGACAAAGAAACTGGAACATGGTAAAGAAAAAAAAAAACAGTGGTAACTTAAAAATTCTTCGGAAAGTTTCTGAAATGCCGCTAAGGATAATTATGATAGAAGACCGGGTAAGGAATGTTTAGATCTTGATAGATCTTGAATAAAAATTTTAAAGTCAATATCAATATAGTTTAGTTAAATTTTATTGGCCTAAAAATTACTTTTTCACAAAATTTGATTTAAAAAATTATATTTTATGTTAAATCGTTTTCTGGAATGAGAAAGGTTATGACAAGCAGTCAAAATTTCTGAATGTCATGTAAGTTCGATGATATTCATGTTCAAAAGTTCTTGATGTAAAACTGTTTTCCTCATAACCTAATATTCTTCAACAAGAAAGTTATCTTTAAAAGAACGAAACAAACATAAAAAGTAATTCTAATTTTCCATAATTTATTCTCCCTGTTCACTTAATTCAGTAGATTCAATTTCTTTTACTCATAAATCTTTGTCATGTGTCACAGTCAGACACGTAATTTTGTTATCTCTTGAATATGTCATACATCATAGTTCATGAGAATAAATTATAAAACTATAATGCGCGTAAAAAAAAGGGGGGGGGGAGTCATTATCGATATAATGAAAACACCATACGCATACCAACAACAAAAAAATTACCAACAAAAAATTGTATTATTTTTTTTTAATTTATATAATAACTAAAGGCTTACTGTTTATAATTAAAAAAGACGCCAAACTCTAGTCATTCAGTAGAACAACGGCTAATGTTGAAGGCACGTGGTCTGGTACCGGTCCGCGGGCCGCCATTCTGACGAGCACCGCCTTAAGATAACAACTTTTGTAAACAATGAGCATCTCCCAATGCCTACAGCCGTTATCTGTTCAAATTGCGCTCGATAACCCCTTGATAATGTGGCCTAGAAAAGGTGTCAACATGGGGGCCTTTTTTTTCTCCTCCCCAGGATGTCATCTGCTAATTTATCAACAGTAGCCTGAAAACAGAAACGCATGTGACCTTTAGCTGGACTTGGGCATTGTGGAGTAGCTAAAGAATGCTACGCTCAGGGCGAATCCTAAATTTGTGACACCCATAATTTAGGAAAACCAAAATGCATACAGAAGAATCAGATCTATAAAGTATATTAAACGGAACGAGAAAATCATCTACCAGAATAAATGGCACCCGGGGCGGTGGCCTGCATCGCACCCTCCCCCCCTCCACTCTTCGTACACCCTAGCTTGGACGCCACTGACGCGCAACGTCGTTTTACCGTGACGCGTAGGACCGTCCTTCCGAGAAATCAACTCGAACAGTTGACAAACTTCTTTCAGTTTTGATTTGCTCAGATATATAAACTTGACAGCGCTGCTGTGAGGATATCGTTGTATCACACTGTTACAATGTGTGATAGGAAGAAGGAAGTTGACAAGACTGTCGCGTCGATTCTAGCCAGGAACAAGACACAGACTCAGGTTGATATTATTTATTTTTTTTTAATCGAACTGCTACTGTAGTTAATTTTAATTGATATTATACTTTTGCGAGTTTTGTTTGAAGGATAACCAATGAATTAAATATAAGTAAAGCAGTGAATGTTATGTATCTATAGGTTCCATTATTTAGCAGACCATCAATTTTTTTCCTGTATACACTAATAAAAAACATGTGATATGTTTACTCTCTATATTTAATTTACGTAGAGATAGTAAACTTTTCATGAATTGAAGCAATGGCCTGTGTCAACATCATAGATCAGTTCTCTAGCCAGTGTCGGATCTGAATAAAATGATCTGAAATGGTTTTATGGAATTTTAAATGTTTAATTAACTTTTCTCTCACTTATTCCTTCTTTCTCTTTCTCTCTTCCCCCCTACCAGTCTCTCTCTCCTCCCCCACCTCTCTCTCTCTCTCTCTCTCTCTGTCTCTCTCTCTCTCTATCCTCCAAGTCTGCAAATTTCTATTTTTTTTACAAAGGAGTTAAGAGAAATTCAACACTCGTGACTATCAAGGCGCACATCTTATAATTAATTTCTCTGCTGGCTCTTTGATTTCTCTCTACAATATATCCCTATGCACACACGACGTTCATGCTCCACTGACTACGTAATTTTTATTGTTCGTTCTCTTTAAATTTGCTTCAGTTTTTCCCATTTTATTTTTTTTAAAGACTTTACGCCCTAAGAGCCGTTGTGGAGAACCAGTCAAAAGGAACTGGGAGTATGGGGGGGGGGGAGGGGGTGGTTAACCAACATATATGGCAAGAATGGATCTAAATTATTGTTACAAATGTAAAATAATTGATTGTTACCATATCGTCAAAACAGGAATTGATTGTAAAGGTGGTGTGCCGAACATGCTAATTTGAAATACCTTCCTTGTGCATTGCCTTCGTATAATTATTTTACCCCCTCCAGTCCCCCCCCCCCTTTTTTTCACCCCACACCCACACAGCGAGAGAACCATACACACATACACTGTCAACCACACACACACACACCAAAGCACGCATGTACACACACGCACCGACCCCCCTCTCCTGTCAAGACAGGTCATTCATTATAAGATAATCCTTTTTTTTTGTTTTGTTCCATGTCACTGACACCAGAAGCGGTTGCAAGGTTTCAAAATAGCCAAGCTTTACATCGACGTTGGAGAGTTCTCCAAAGCCCAGAGGTAGGTGGTATTGAATTATTGAAGAACTGCAAGAACTAACGACTCAAGGTAGGCTTGTGGGCAGTGGCGTAGCGAGGCAGGTGCGGGGGCGGGGGGGGGGGTGCGGACCGCACCGGGTGACACCGTTTTAGGGGTGACACCCGATTGAAAAATTGCATATTTACAGGGCACACATTGCTCGCAAAAATCGAGATTCATAAAAGAATAACCGAAGGGGGGGGGGGGTGGGGGGGGGCGGGGGGGGGGGGGGGGGGGGGGGGGGGGGGGGGTGCGGACCGCACCGGGTGACACCGTTTTAGGGGTGACACCCGATTGAAAAATTGCATATTTACAGGGCACACATTGCTCGCAAAAATCGAGATTCATAAAAGAATAACCGATCACACATATATATTTTTCACAAATGTAACCAATCCAAATGCGTGCTTTATTAAAAGTTCAAGGCTGATGCTATACTGTGGACTTATTTTAACAAGAAAAAATCGATCATAGAAGTTTGGGGGGGGGGGTGACACCATGAGTTTACCGCACCGGGTGACACCAACCCTAGCTACGCCACTGCTTGTGGGGGACGGGTACACTGTCACTCTCGTGTATTGTCCCAGGCGTTCCTGGAAGCGGGTGGTCGATTCGGGGCACCCTAACGGCTAGTGCCAACGGCAGCGGGAGATTCGTGATTGGAAGAGGATTATTGCCACGTCACCATTCCCGGTAGTTCAAACACTTTAATCGCGTACACATATTAACCCTGCGTCGTAGCTGCCTATTTCTTGAGGCCATCTATCAACACCGGTTCAATGTCGGGACACTATTTCAAATTTCCTCTGCAGTAGTCACCCGCTGATTTAAATTATTGGGTCATGTGATAAAATTGATAAAGGTTACATGCGGTTGCATTGGCGAGGTCGGCTAGACATTGATGGCAGGCGGACTGACCACGTGATGATCTTGTGGCTCTAAATATTGTGCTGACCTGAAAAAAACTAAAAACATTATATAAATATCTACTTACACATCTTTTTTGCACACCCTATAAGCCACACAATCAAACGCCATCTAAACATCTAGCCACACATCGAGTATGTACGTACACATCTAATCTTCACACAAGTCACATAATCAAACAATCTAGCCTACTCACATTTCTAATTAGCTACCATCACAAACAAACAAACAAACAAACAAACAAACACACAAACACACACACAAACACACACACAAACACACAAACACACACACAAAGACGCGCACGCACGCACCCACGCACGCACGCACACACACACAGACACACACACACCAACCATCAGGCACACTCCTTCTAAAATGATCAAAATGTTTGATATTACTGCAAACTATTTTCTTTCAAAATGGAAGAAAAAAAATTGAACGGAAAACGAAACAAAACTTTATAGAATGTTTACGCTGCAGTTTTTAAAAAAAAAAATTAAAAGTGATTTCTCTTTCATTTTTCTGGGAAAGAAATGTCAAGTTGATGTCGTCCTATTTCAGTTTCAGTTTTCAGCGTTTTTTTTGTTTTTTGACATCCGCCCCCCTCCACTTCTGTATTTATAGTGAAATCGAGACACTTTAGGAGAATGATGTGTGCTTGATGATTTGTGTGTGTGTGTGTGTGGACGGTAGCTCATTAGAACTTATTGTAGGCTAGATTTTTTGAATGTGTGCCTTGTGTGAAGTTTAGTCTATCGTAACCGTAACGTATTTAACTTCCAGGCCAGCAACAAAACTGTCGGTGACGGGAATGGAGGGGAAGAAGTGTGTGTGTGTTTGTGTGTGTGTGGTTGGGGGAACCTGTTGTGTGTTTGTGTGTGTGTGGTTGGGGGAACCTGTTGTGTGTTTGTGTGTGTGTGGCTGGGGGAACCTGTTGTGTGTTTGTGTGTGTGTGTGGTTGGGGGAACCTGTTGTGTGTTTGTGTGTGTGTGGTTGGGGGAACCTGTTGTGTGTTTGTGTGTGTGTGGTTGGGGGAACCTGTTGTGTGTTTCTGTGTGTGTGGTTGGGGGGAACCTGTTGTGTGTTTAAGAATGAGGTCTTTAACCCTAGCGTATATTTATTTTTTTTAACACATGATTTACTGTTAAGTTACACAACGTAAGGGGAAAAGAAAACTGCTGTCGAGTAGTTGAAAACGTGTACTTAGATACTCCTGGCTTAAGTAATAAATAATGTAAATGTGTTAGCTAGAAAAACTAGGCCTGTCACAGATGGTACGGAGATTTGATGTTTATGGCAATGGCCCAGAGGCGTAGCTAGAGTGTTTGGCGCCCGGGGATAAGATTCGTTTTAAAGAGCCCACTTTTCTTTTTTTTTCAACTCTCAAACCCATTATTTTCATTAATAACATAATATCAAAGCACATTTTGGTGCCCCAAACTAGCCTGGCGAACAGGGACATCTGTCGTCGCCCCCCCCCCCCCTTAGCTATGCCTCTGCAATGGCCCAACTATTGTTCATATCGCAAGTGGTATTGATGTTGCTGTAACCAATACAGACCCACTTTTCTTTTTTTTTCAACTCTCAAACCCATTATTTTCATTAATAACATAATATCAAAGCACCTTTTGGTGCCCCCAACTAGCCTGGCGAACAGGGACATCTGTCGTCGCCCCCCCCCCCCTTAGCTATGCCTCTGCAATGGCCCAACTATTGTTCATATCGCAAGTGGTATTGATGTTGCTGTAACCAATACAGGTCCGCCCCTTCTCTGTGATAGTTCACTGGTCAAGGCGTTGAAGATAGCAACGAAGTAAACACATGCCACTAATCAATTATCAAACAACTCCACTGCAGCAGTTGCAAAGAAGCGATGCATTTGATGTATATAGTATAATAAATATAGAGATGGCTTTTTTCCTATAACTAAACACTCGAATTTTCTAACATTTCAGTGTCTATAGGTTACGCTATAGCTTCTCTATCTGGGTCCAAATCTCCGGACTTTCTCTGATGTAGCTGAAAATCCTGGATTATCATATATACACGTCATATTTCTCCCTGCATGTCCAGTTACTACTCGAACTCCAATCAAGTCCTTCAGTCCTTGAAATCAAACTGTTGTATCCCACTCATTATTTGCATTGTAACCTCCATCGCGTACAACCTAACTTCATTTGCCTACGAGCTTCGTTTCATGCCATCACCATCACCATCAGATACTGCATCAGTATCAGGTACTCCATCACTATCAGGTATTCCATCACTATCAGGTACTCCATCACTATCAGTGCTCATCACCATCAGATACTTCATCACTATCAGGTAATCCGCCCCTATCTAGTATTTCATCACTATCAGGTACTCCGGCACTATCAGGTACTCCACCACTATCAGGTATTTCATCACTATCAGGTACTCCATCACTAACAGATACTCCGTCACTATGAGGTACCCAATAACTATCAGGAACTCCATCATTATCAGGTACTCCATCACTAACAGATACTCCGTCACTATGAGGTACCCAATAACTATCAGGAACTCCATCATTATCAGGTACTCCATCACTAACAGATACTCCATCACTATCAGGTACTCCATCACTATCAGGTAATCCGCCCCTATCTAGTATTTCATCACTATCAGGCACTCCGGCACTATCAGGTACTCCACCACTATCAGGTACTCCATCACTATCAGGTACTCCATCACTATCAGGTATTTCATCACTATCAGGTACTCCATCACTAACAGATACTCCGTCACTATGAGGTACCCCATAACTATCAGGTACGCCACCACCATCAGGTACTCCATCATTATCAGGTATTTCATCACTATCAGGTACTCCATCACTAACAGATACTCCGTCACTATGAGGTACCCCATAACTATCAGGTACTCCACCACTATTATATACTCATCCACCATCAGGTACTCCACCACCATCAGGTACTCCACCACTATCAGGTATTTCATCACTATCAGGTACTCCATCACTAACAGATACTCCGTCACTATGAGGTACCCCATAACTATCAGGTACTCCACCACCATCAGGTACTCCATCATTATCAGGTATTTCATCACTATCAGGTACTCCATCACTAACAGATACTCCGTCACTATGAGGTACCCCATAACTATCAGGTACTCCACCACTATTAGATACTCATCCACTATCAGGTACTCCATCATTATCAGGGACTCATGGGAACTAAAAGCAAAGGTCTTTTACTCCTATACCTTACAACGGATAAATACATCACCTCTTTACCTTGCAACATATATCTAACTTATTCCTTTACCTTACAACAGATACCTAACTCATCCACTCACCTTACAACATGTACCTAAGTTATCCCGTTACCTTACAACAGATATCGAACGTATCCCCTTACCTTACAACAATTACCTAACGTATCCCTTTACCTTACAACAGATCCCTAACTGACTACTTGATTGAAAGACACAATGAGCCACTTGCGCATGAACTCATGGGAGAGATCTACGAGGCTGTTGGACAACCAGCAGAAGCTCTAGAGAGTTTTAAAAGGTCAGATTTTTTTATAATTATTTTGGCTGGTTTGCAGTCAACAAAGTGTATTGTTATTTGCAAGCTATTTTTGTTTCTTTATTCAGAACCGAAATCGTTATTTCAATCTTTCTACAACGCCCCCCTCCCCACCTACCCCCACCCCTCTTTTGTTTTCTTCCGTGGGCCAAAGTCCGTCAAGACCCATGCTCCCTTTATGTCTCTTCCTGGTGTTTGACACACAATGTTTCGCCAAGTCGCAACCATCGTTCCAGACACATTAGTTAGGTTCCTTCCTACCCAACGTGTGTTCTTTGGCCCCCATGTGTTAGTGTCCACTTAACTTTATCTTTGTTGGTTCTCACGCCAATGCCTTTCTGGCGAGTGGCGATGCATGACTATCCTAATCCCAGAGGATAAGCATTCAAGGGTTAATATCGACATTCACTTCTTAGTTGTGTTTAAGGCTGCGGCTATTCGGACCCTGTATCAGAAGGGAGAGGTTGGGTTTTAAAAAAAAAATATTAAAAGTATTATTGTTGGGGTTGTAAGATAAAATTTGGTATCGAATGAAAGATAATTGAATGGACCATATGTTTGTAAAAATTCTTCAGTTTAACTAAAATAAAATACCACAACGAACATCCGAATAGTGTTTGGTCTAATGGGACCCTAGGACAATGTGCCCGAAGGACAAAGCCAAAGAAAAATCTAATGAAAAAGGGAAACTCTATCGTAAAATCCAAAGAAAAAGGGAAATTAAAGAAAAAAGGGAAACTCTACAGAAAAATCCAAAGAAAAAGGGAAACTAAAGAAAAAAGGCAAGCTCTATAGAAAAACCTAAAGAAAAAAGGGAAACTCTACAGAAAAATCCAAAGAAAACGGGAAACTAAAGAAAAAAGGGAAGCTCTATAGAAAAAAAACTAAAGAAAAAAGGGAAAATCTACAGAAAAATCTAAAGAAAACTGGGAAACTCTAAAGAAAAATCCAATACAAAAGGTCAATACCAGCGGTTTTTTCTATATCTCATGAAATATTTATCTCAACTCCATTGAAATCTGCTCCATACTTAGCTGGGAGCTAACGATTTACAAGTGTACATTGTTGAGTTTCCATCAGGTCAGTGGAATCCCAACATGTCACCTGCAGCCGTACATACAGTCTGTGAAATACCGAACAGGTTGCTGTTGGTGTTATATTTTAGTTATGTGAAGGGATTATTTCAGAAATTTCCCCCCGGGGGGGCACTGCAGATTTTTCGGGGGGGGGGGAAGGGGGCAGTGCCAGCAGTGCCAGTTGATTTGTTGTTGGACATATTTTTGCTCCGGGGGGGGGGCGCTTGGCTTTCCCCGGAGATATAGCTGAAAGAAACCCTGGTTATGTGCTTCTTCGTGACAGCAATTGACATCATATGTGAAATTTAATGTTGCAAATTCAAAGATTATTAGTAGTTATGACTCTTTTGAACAAAGTCGATGAACATGGTAAAATAAACATGAACATGATATAATGAGTATCGTCTGATGAATACTCAAGTGATTATCTATCGATGATTTAAAAAAAAAGAGATTTTAAATAAACTTTCGAAATTATTTACATGTTAAAAAATAAATGATTTCTCCCCTTTATATTTTAATAAATGATTATTGACAGTCCTCCTGATATTAAAAAAAAAAATGATTACTCTTACTTATATGAAAAAAAATTATTTTGACCTATTTTTCACTAACACATTTCAGGGCGTATGATTATGGTGGTTCCCGCTTCTGCAAAGTCGTTAAAAAAAGTAAGAAGATTACCTGCAATAAAGATAATGAAGTTAAAGATAATAGCTTAGTACTAGACGCCAGGTTTTGTGTCAGTTACCTGCACCAAGTTACATTTTAGTTACAATTGGCCAGATAAAAATTACAAAAATGTGCAACATCATTTTCATAAGCAAAGCAAGCAATTAATGGGTGGTCTGCATAAGGGGAAGCAATTAATGGATGGTCTGCATAAGGGGAAGCAAATTTGTATTTTAGATGAGTTCTAATCTCAATATGATAAAAGAACATAATAGTGGTTTTGGGAGAAAAAAAAAGTGTGTGGGGGGGGGGGTGGTCCTGCTATCAGGTTTTCTCATAGGAAATACTAGGTAATGAGAAAAAAAATGATAGGGGACAAGAGACATGTAGTTTTTTCCCTTAACTTACGTTTCGTATTTCATGGTGTGGTGGCCAGCGGGAAGGTGAAAAATTAAAAAAAAATCCATGCATCCTGGAAAGCTGAAAGAAAATAATACATTTCCTGCTGATTTGACTTTGTCTTTAAGGGCGATATTTTGAATAGGTAGAAAAAATGAATTATATCATTTTTTTCATTTAATTAATTCTACATGAATATGTGTGATTTTCTTCCTGCTTAGTCGGTGATCTGTATTGTGACATTGGAACAGAAATTCAAACGTTAAAGGTAAATTTCGAATTTAAAATTGATTCTTTTGAAATACATTTAAAGAAGGGAAAAAAAAAAGAATTTATGAAAAATCAAAGTTGGCTATCTGTTTTCTCTAGGTCTAGTCATCTCAATGTGTTTGGACAATAAAATAAATGACTTAGTCATAAATCAGAATTTTTTAACCGGTGCGTCCGTCGTGACACACAGATTCACAATTGCTTCGTGGAATAACATAATTTTTTTAATTCCCCTCCTCCTCTCCCCCCCCCCCCCCCACAAAAAAGGCACACCTATTCATGAACATGTTAGTAATTAGAAGTCCACACTATTTCCACACTATCATTTTCCTCTAAAGCCGTTCTTCCTCGACACAGTCTGAATATTGAAGTTGAAGTCTGCTTCTTGCTTTGGTGGTTTAAATCGAACCAGCTGAAACTGAACTTCTTCAACTCTTTTCTTTAGTATTATTTATAAGTCTCCTTTTATCATCTTCAGTAAAGCCACTAGTCTTTGTAGGCTTCATAAATTTCATTTTTTATTTCGCAATTGGAAATCTTAATTATTTTAAGTTTTGTAAAAACATTTGTCCTTTCACTTTCAAATAGACAATTAGTTGTAGAGTAGGTCTACATTCTAATAGGTATAGTCTAAGGTTATGCATGCTAGTCCACAATTACTACAAATAATTTCTTTTGTCACCTGTTTTTTTTTTTTTTGAAACACGAAAACAATATTTAAAAAGAATAGACATAATTAGAGCTGACCTACAATTTTAGCTTTTCTAATAAAGTCAGTGTATAACTTTTTCTGTTTGTTTGTTTGTTTTTTTTTTTAAAGTTTTGGCTTGAGCAATGTGACAGATTCTTCCCCAAAACTAGTACAGCAGTAAGGATCAAGGTAAAAATAAGTTTTCAAATGGCTGAACACAGGGCAAAATTTATTTAACAATATTTAGTGGGCAACTAATTTTATATTTTAAAATCATTTTCATGGAATAATACCGAATTGTTAATGCTATTTTTAAATGTACTAATTATTTTATCATTACCGAATAACACATTTGTAGTCTCATTGATCATTGATATAATATTTGCAATATTTATATCAAAATTAACTTTTATTTTATGGGTATCACTAGACTAGTAATAGTAGTGGTCACTAGTATCAGCTGCTAAAAAATTCATAATTATAAGGATGGTTGTAAATTGTAAGGCCAACAGATAGGATCTTGAGTATGATTGACATGGACATGAGCTGATCTTAAAATAGGTATGATTCTGAAGATCAGTCTTAAATGAAATATGTGAAGCAAACTTATAAAGAAAACCAATACATATCACCTCATATAAATGTTGGTAGGCCTAGGTAATGAAATTAGAAATTAATTATTGCAAAAAAAAACAACAACAAAAAACGTCAAATAACTCATAACCTCAATTTGTTTTATGTTTTCTTAGGCACATATCAACAATTACACCGAAGCTCGAGAAAACCAAGCAACAAATGACCAGGTTTGTTTGTTTGAATAAGAATAAGATCTTGCAAATTTTGACATAATATTTCCCCTGAAACCAGTTCAAAAGTTTTATTTTAACAATTAGATCAAGGCTGTTATGAAAAAAATTAAGAACAGCAAAGAGTAAAAGATATTTCTTATATCACACTGGACTTATCATACAGCAAATAATGAAAGGCAAACAAGTTTTCATCCTATAAATCATAAAATTGGCAGAGTTAACATAAAATACAACATAACTTATTTTGAAAATTTAAAGACAAACATACATTGTCATTGCATTTTAATTAATTTAAAGATGGTTTTCAATTTTAATTAGAATTAGGTTAATTTTTTAATGAAAATAAAAATTTAAAAAAAGGAAATGTATAGTCAATAAATTCTTAGCACTTTACAACAAGAAATTCCTTGACCTTTATTTCCACTTCCAATTGATGTTAGTATCATTTGATAATGACATTTCTTAATATTTCATTTTTAGATGGAACATGATTTTTTTTCTGTAATAATTTACCCCAGTCATGACACCAACCATTGGGAAAGTTTTCTTCAATTTTGTTTAGTTGACAATTATTGTTATAAGATTTGTGCACAATAATTGTCTGACAAATAATTAAATTTTAAAAACTTGTATTGTATTAAATTGAATAAACCTGATATCAACGCCATAATGGCTTTATTAATTAAGGTCATGGATGATTTATCGCTCCACATCAAGTTGTTGAATGACTTGACTGAAAAAGGAAGATGGGACAAGGCATGTGAAGCAGCTGTCACTTGTAACTTTGAGACAAAGTTTGTAGAGGAGTTTCATTGGTTTGACTGTCTCCATTCAGTATTTAGAGTAAGTTTTAAAAAAATAATAATAATTATAATTTATATTAATAATAATAATTGTATGGTTGTTAAAAAATACAAAAAATTATCTAGGTATTAAATTTCTTTAAAGTTCTGTATAAAAAGTAAAATTTAATATGATATCATATTACCAATTTGTTTATAAATAATTTACATTTTTATTTTTTGTATGCATAATTTTTAGTTCATATAATTAATAACATGCTTGACAAAACTGATAGTAAAATTTAAAATAGTATTCCATCCTAGAATTAACAATAAAATGTGTGCTGTTAAAAATATAAATTATTTATGTCCCAGTAGTTTATACCAAATACATCATTGTGTAAGGCTTAAAAGTAAAATAATTTTAGTAGCTAAAATTTAAAAATAAATTACAAATAATATTCTTTTACTAAAACCTAATCCCATCTTTTTCAAATTTCTTAAATGTAAATACTAATTTAGTATTTATTATATATTTCTTCAAAATTTTGTAAATCTTGATAATTTTCCAAACAGGAATATGGTGTCAAAAACCCAGATGTGAGATTTACCTATGATTACAATCTTCATTACCTCTACATTCTTAGAAACCTAACATACCTTAGTCTGTGTACAAGACATGTTAACATTTGTGTCTATGCTCTGAAGAGGTAACATTTTGATGCAAACTTATATCTATTTAGATTATTAAAATAAAATTAAAAAAAAAACTTTAATTGTCTAGCATAATTTAATAAGTATATGTATTTTAGTTATATATTTGGATAAGCTTTCAAAGAAGACCTACATGGCAGCTATGGCGTACAAACAGACTACACTAACCATGCATTTATGGAACTCTCCAACTAATGTCCACAAATTTTACACATTATCCAACAAAATATTTTTTTCCAACTCTTTCTATTGTACATAAATAGTTTTTAGGACAAAAAAAAAAAATAATTAACTCCTTTCTTGAAAAATATGCAGTCAAGATAATATTACAAACAATACAAAACAATGCACAGTGAAATGAGAGAGCAGCCAAAAAAAGCAAAACAAGGGGCCTGTAATCAACAGCCTATGTCATTCAACACACCCAAGCAGATTATCAATGCTATCTAAAGAAAAGACTGGTTAAATGACTGGGCACTGGGCTCAACAGGAAGCTATGAGTTTACAAACATACATATGCACATTCCAAAACAGTGCAAAATTGCCTCCGAAGACAGGAAACAGGTGTCAATTTTTTGACTGCATACAGCACAAATAAAAACTTACACTTGAAAGGGATAAAACGTGATAAGCCATGACCTTATTCAAAAAAGATGGTGCCACATCCACCTAATCACTGCTCATCACTCCAGGATTTTCACGATAAATAGCTACCCCTCTACTCTCACAATGTATACAGACAGAGAGAAAGGAAGAAGCCTACACATTTTTCACTATGATCTCATGTCAAAAGAAACTTGCCCCAATGTTTACAGAAACAAGATGATGTTGATACTAATTAGACACTTTTAGAAAAAATTTGTCATATGCATCTTTGATAAAAATGTATGAAAATTAATTTCTTTATATATTTTAGAAGCCAAATTAAGGTTCAGTTTTCTGGTGAAATATTTTCATTAAAAAAAATCTTAGATATTTTATAAATATCCATTTAGCGTAATAATTTTTTTAAATTGAACACCCAGGAAAAGAGCATAGGGCTATTCAGACATACTTTGAAAATTTAGTTTGGCAATGCTTGTAGTTTCTTCACTTTTGAATCATGCAGAAGTTGTTTTTCCATCAACTCTAAAGAAAATCCAAATCCAATAAAATAGATATCTGTTGGATATGAGTGTTTTTACTACAAAAAGTATCAGAAAAAAATAATATTTTAAGTAGCAAGAATATTAACTAAAGATGCAAAAGATTCCAAACATCACAGTCATTAATATTTTTAATATTAATTAAAATGATAATTATGCTATATAAAATCTATTTTACAATCTGTCAATATTTGTTTTTAAAGAGATGCACTTTTCTATAATACTTGACCTAATTTTGATTTTGTTATTCTTAGCTTTGATCAGCAATTGAACCATGCCCTATCCTTGGACATGACAGATGGTACTTGGCATGGTTTGATGAAAGAAATTAAAGGACAGTTTTTTTTCCTGGCTGGTGTTCTTTTGTTAAAGAAGGCCCAGGATGTGAGTAAATATGGATGCATAAGGTTTCTACATTTTCAACTCAGCTTGATAATTAATAATTGACTTATGAAGGGTTTCATTTATATACAAAAAATAATAAATACAGATGGATAAATTCTTACACAGCCATATGTTAAGAAAAATTGTTGGTTTAATATAAAAAAAATCTTTTCAAAGGAGAAAAGTAGTTTTCTACACAAATAATTATTATTTTATTTTGTAAGCTTCCATTACAAACATTATTAAAACATGTGTTAAAATAAATCTATTTTAAATATGTAAAACATACATTTTTATTATCAACTAGGGTTTATTACCATTAGAAAATGGAGTCAAGGCAGCAGGAGCTTGTTTTTTAACCAGCTACAAAGTTGATCCCATCAACAGCAATGAGAAATGGATTGCCAATCTACCCCAGCATGGGAGCAAATTTTACAAATGGTGGTATCTTCAAAGCTATGATCGTGTGTCTCAGATTGGTATGTTGGATGACTTTAAAAATGGGCTATTTGTGATGTGAAAGTTCTTTTAAGGTCCATCTCATTGTGTTGTAACTGACTGCAGGACTTTTTTAACATTCAGTTTTTTTAATGAAATCATTTGCTAATCAAAATTTTTGCAAGGTTTGCAATGTATGGCTCATTGAGACAAATGGTTGGTAAGCTGGAGTCAAGGGAAAGGCTGGGTGTTAGAAAGTTGGGATTTTGGTCAGGAAGCAAGAGAGAGTCATGTTCCAAAAAAAAGTTTGGGATAAAAATTTAATATATGGCCATAATGGAGGTAACAGAGCTGCATGGAGTACATATGCCATCTTTAAAATGTTGCAGAACTTAAAAGAAAATAGGATGGCACAATTTTTTTCACTGAAGAGAGTAAAGATCCTTATATAAATTTATATTCAATAATTAGGATTATCAAATTGAAACACAAATAAGTTTACACTTTTTAAAAAAAAATAAATATGTCTAACTTAGGCTAAAATATCAAATTTGATGAAATGTATTGCTTGAATTGCAACACTTGAAGAAATGATATATAAAATATATTAATTATTTCTAAACCTTTTACTCAAAAAACTCTTATATTAATATTAATTATTATACTCTCCTACTTTTCTTAACTTTTGCATTTAAATTAAAAACCTATGGAAGCAAAAGTATTTTCATAAATCATTTTTTCACTAGCCATTAATTAATGCCTACACATTCTGCAGCATAAATTATTTTTAAAAATGAATGCAATTTTTAAATATTAATAAATAAATATATTAATTTTTATGCTTGATGTGAATATTTTCCTTTATGCAACCCCAATATGCTTATATCAATTGACAGACAGAAAGGGATATGTTAATCCATCCTATTAATTTAAGGTTGGCTTTTTCTACAACACTCATGAGAATTTAATACATTGTTGTTGTTTTTTTTAAAATTTAGGACACATGTTGAGCCAATGGACTAGTTCCAACATTCTGGAATGGAGTAAAACACATCAGTTTATGACACATGATGGTCAAAAATATCTATACAAGCTTCTTTTTGGTGATGAGGCTGAGACAGAAGAAATGAAACAATCTTTTTTCAACCAATCCAGGGAGTTGTTGGATAAATCAGCTCTCAAGACACAATTGACTGACAGAAATCTTGCAGAGATAGATAAAGGTTAGCACTAGATATCAAACATATTTATTAGTCTCAATGCTTATTTTTATGAATTCAGGAATAAAATTAAAATTATTTCTATTGACATTTTTAGGTTCAAGATCTTAGAAAGCCATACGTGATGATGGGTGGAAATTCAAATATTACTAAGGTCTTTTTTGGCGTTGGTGGTCATTCAGAAGGTTCCATGAGACTTTTATCATGCCACTTGGGCTTTGGCCATAATTACAAATAAAAGAAAGCATGAACTTTGCAAGAATAAAAAGAGATATTGTTGTGTTGGTATAACACAGGCTAATGTTATACAGCTAACTATTATAGAATTACTGAAAATATTTTTTCCCCACCTTTGGGAGACTTGAATGTTTCAAACCTTTAAAGCAGTGGTTCTTAACCTGGGTTCGATCGAACCCCAGGGGTTTGGTGAGTCAGTCTCAAGTGTTCGGCGGAGGTAAAAAAAAATTCAGAAAAAAAAAATTGCATTTTATTTTTCCTTTTAAGAAGGGTTTGGTGAATTTGCATATGAAACTGGTGGGGTTCAGTACCTCCAAAGAGGTTAAGAACCACTGCTTTAAAGGATATCTATAATCAAGATAAATTTAATCAGTTAAAACTATTTATTGTGATTTGTGTGCTTATTTTGATATTCTTGTTAGGTCTTTAGCACATAAACCTTCAATAGGGTTCCACTGCATGTCTACAATCTGCCTTCTCATTGCACCAAGTTAGTTTATTGCTCCTCATAATGCAACTCCAACCATGGTCAAATAATATAGTTGAAATCAAAGTATGTATATTAATAATGACCTTAGGATAGTGACAAGCAATCTTTTCACAATGTCTGCGGCACTCTGACAATGAATGGCTTCTATCCTGGTTAGGGTTAATTTAATCTGTTCTTTCTTTTATAATAATTTATAAATAAATACCTAGTATTTAAAATTTAAATAAGGATAAGCCTACAGGTATTACTTATATTGATACTTTCAGTTGCATGTAAACTTCATCTGTGCAACCTGTCTCATTTGGTATGGTTGTGTCGACAACACTACTCACCAGACATAGACGTCCAACCTCACTGTGAGTACTCACATGCCTAAAACTGTGTGATTTTTATTCAGTTTTTTACTTTGTAAAATCTATTTGACATGGTATAATTTTATTAATTCTGAAGGCAGTTAAATAATGTCTTTATTAATTTATTTAATTTTAATGCCTGATAACTGAAATGATTGTGCTTTCATTACTTCAAAAGAATTCACAATAAACTCCACAATTAAGAACCAATAATCAGTATTATTAGTAGTATTAGTATCACATATTTAGTAAAAGAGAAAGATGTTTTTTAAAGATACTTTGTGATCAGGATCTTAAAAATATCACAATTGATGTGTAAAACTTTGGTATGTGAGTTACAAAGAGATTGTTAAAGATGGGAAATCTTTCTTTTAAATTTATATAACAATGTGAAAAGATTCATTTTTTACTTATTATTTATTTTACTAATGTTTTATGTGTGGATAAGAATTATGATATATCATAACATGAGGTTCATGCATTCAGTTTTTGAGAAGTAGTTCTAATCAACATTTTATCAGAGCCATGAAGCATTTTATTATTATCTCTACCTTCTGCAGATCCATTTTTTACCATAGAAGACTTTCACTATGGTGTGAGGAGCATGGACAATGGAGTTATTGGCTCACTATGCCAAACTGACATTTTGGTAAATTCTTCATTAAATTAATTTTATAAAACTTTTATTTATTTAGTTACAGATTTTGTAGCTCAACAAAAAATACCTATTATTTACTGTAGGTTTTCCTGTTAGCCACTGTCCGTTGTTCATCCCATGAGGTTAGTGATGTTAGTTCTTTGATTGACAATGCATGGCACATATTTCCAATGCCAGTTGGTCTGACTCAGGATCTATGTACCCCAGAGCAAGCTGAATGGTGGAATGCAGCTTATAACTACTGTACTTCAAAATACAAGTAAGATTTATTTTAACTGATATATAATATGAGGAAGGCAATTATTTGTTCTTCAAATGTTTAATAATTTTAACAGTTCTTCAGTTTTTATCAATTTCATTAAAAAAAAATTTTTATTTGAATAATTTACAGCAAAACAAAATGTTTAGTCATAAGATATTTATTTTAATTACAATATATTAAAAACACAAATTTCAGGATTATTTTGCAGAAGGCAAACATTTATAAAAGTTTTTGTGTTAAGCATTTTTGCATCTATAACAAATGTACTATTAACCATACAGATCTGAATTTCTTGATATGAGGCGAATCCTGGTCAAAGGGATTGAAACTGTCCGGCTAGTTGGACCACACGGCATGTCTGTACATATGATGGTCCATGTTGCGAGGTCACTGAGCGCAAAGGTGAGTGGAGTTCTTTAGAATTAATTTAGCTGATTTATGTTTTAGCTCCCATTATTTTAATTTGCAATTTTGAATGGTTTAGCAATTTTGTTTTATTTTTAAATATGTCATTTTTATTTTGGGAAGCTATGTGTGAGCCTAACAATTATAGATTGATTATTACAATTTTTTCCATCATAGTTTTTTTGCACTATAAGTCAAACTTACTTATTCTGCCCTATCATTATTTAATTATTTGAACTTAAGATCAATCGCACTTGGCCTCATCACATTTTAAGAATTTATTCAGAGTGCTACACTAAATATTGTTGTGGGGTTATTGTTGTTTTTTTTTGGTGGGGATTTTTTAAAATACATTTTTCCACTAAATTTAAACATTTTTAAGCTTAAATTTTTAGTTTCAAAAAAAAAATTTCAAAGTGCGTTTATTAAATACGTTTTGACGTTTAAAATTTTAAGCTATGGACATTATTTTTGGATGGCTTATGAATTCTATAGAGCTAAAATTTGGCTATGGAAACTTGTGAACTATTATGCTTTTAAATGTTCAATATTACAATAATTAAAATAGTTTTTTGTTTTTTTAAATAAAAAGTTTTAATGCATATCGAATTAGTAAGTCAGCTACACTAATAAGGAAAAGGCTAAACTATTTCTTATACAATTATGTATGCTTTTTGGTATATAACTTATAGAATATTGGATTTTCATCAAATAAATTCAAGTAGGACAGAAAAATTACATTGTCTCTCCATGTTAGAATATCACCAGATTATATGAAGTTATTAAGAAAAGCTTTTATATGATCTTCAAAGTTTCTCTAAGTAATGTTATAAAAATTAAAATTTTAACTATGTAATATGCTACATTTAAAGAAAAGTGTGACTACTTAAAATGATAGATTCATAGAAAATAATTTAAAATTATATCCATCCCTCTGGCGCCACAGCCCATGTAGGGTTTTGGCCTGCCTCACTGCTTCCTTCCACTCAGACCAAACTAACTTAAAAATCATACATGTAGATTCATAGAAAATATATCAAACAAAATTCCTGCAAATTTCAAAAAGCAATTTTCTCTGGAAATATGTAATAAGCTTTTGGGGAGTATTTTAAATTATGATTTTAATATTATCAGGACATTAAATTTTTTTTGGTAAAAATTGTTATCTGCAGGTAAAAGTCTTGCAAGAAGTTGGAAGTGATTACAAATGTCCAGTATCAGAGATTATAGCCATTGAAATGAGAGCTGAACAGTACTGGGAGAAAATTAAATTTTATATGGAAAAGCTGCAGAGGTAGTCACTGACAGATTTTTAATTTAACTTAGCTCTCTGTATCTACAGACTATAATAATTTAGAGCTTTAATCAGAGAAGAAATTTGGATCAGACCATTTTGGCCAAGCTCCGGTTCAGACAAATTTTGTCATCTCCAGCTCTGCCTTGAGCTGTGGCAAAATTAAAAAGGTGGAGTGGTGGTTTAGGGGGATTATAAGTAATTAAAGAAATTTTTATTTCATCATTTAAACCATCTTATTAACTATTTGTTAGAGAGGCATATACATTGTACAAGCAACATAACAGTTAGAAGAGTAGGGTAACATAGCTGGAATAAGAGTGGGGCTCAATAGATGGTAGAAAATTGGGACAACATAGCTGTAAAAGAGTGGGCAACTTAGCTGGTAGAAAAGATGGAGCAACAAAGCTAATAAAAAACAGGGTATCAATTTTAATAAATCAATTTTTTTTAAATTTAGTTTTTAAATTTCTAAAAATTTATTTATTAAGAAATTTTGGATCTTGGAGCTGCAAGAAATTTTACCAGCTCCACTTTTGCTGTGGGCAAAAAGACCCTGCTACAGAGCTGTTAGCTCCATATCAATTCCTGAAAAAAGCATTTAAAACAATTTCAAAAAATAAAATTAAAGGAAATTTTAAAATCTTTCAAGTTAAGTTTAAAAAGTTAAGTTCTGACAATTAGTTTATTTATTTCAATTTATAAATTGATCAGAAAAGGATTAATTATTAAATAACGAGTTAAAAACCAATTTTTTTTAAATTTGTATATTAGACATCATTATCATGATATGTATTTAAAAAAATAATTATCAGTGATAAAAGGAATACAATCCGGATGCATCATTATTTTAAAATTTCAACTACTTCCATAAGCAAAATTTATAATGACTACTAAATGAAATATATAAAAAAAGAGTTATTCTAATTTTTAAAACTCTATTTCATAGTAAAATTAATATTCAAAAGGTATATGAAATTAAATGAAATGTAAAGTTATTGAAATTAATATATTAGATATTTCATATCTTATGTTTATGTATTGCAACACTTAACTAATAAAACGTAGCTTACTTCATCAGCCCGACAGATTTATTTTCATCTGTTAGACAAATATAAGTAAATAGCAACATAGGCATAAAGTCATTTTATCTTCTTAGGAATGATAACCTTATAGCTCCCAACAAAAGATTATTTGAAGAACCTCAAGATATGGAAATTGCTCCTGAACAAATTGAATCCTATTTGTCAGAATCCATCTTTTCTCTGGCTCTTGCTTCAATGAGTAGGTCAGACTATGCCAGGGCTGTTGAGGGTTTCATGAAGATTGGATCTGCTGAAGCAAACCTGTATTGTGCAAAGGTAAACCTTTCATTTTTTGGAATCCTACCATTTGATTTTTTATTTATCAGATTAATATATCTAGATTCTAATTGTATAGGTTACGTTTTTTTTTTATACTAAGTAAAACATCACTTTAAACAAAAATAATGTTATAATTTTATCTTTACATAAAATAAGTGCTGACATCTTTAAATATATTTCTATCGTTATTATATATATATATTTATATATATATATATATATATATATATATATATATATATATATATATATATATATATATATATATAATATATTTTTATCTTTATTATATATATATATATATATATATATATATATATATATATATATATATATATATATATAGACATAGATATAGATATATATTAAGTTAAATTGAATTTAAAGTAAAACAAATAATCAACAATTTATTACCATCTGTAAGGCAATGTAATTTTTTGTTTATACAATTATACTAAGTCATATTTACTACAAATAGCTGTATGTACCATGAATGATAATTACATTATGAACTTATTGTAATGAGATTTAGTTATACCTAAAATAGAAAAAAAATAATTTATAATAAATTAGAAAATGACTAATAATTCACTTAAAATGAAATGTAACTAAACTATATTGTAATTAGCTAGAAATGGAAAGTTTGAAAACTTTTACTATTAATATAAAATAATTTTTACTCTGAATTCTAATCTCAATTTAAAAAAAAATTACAGTTAATCTGGTATTTTTCATTTGAACAGCTGTAATATTTAATTACTTCTCAAACATGATTATTTAGTTCCTTGTTTAACACATTTGAACTATTATATTGTTAGTAATTGAAGCTACCAATTTGTGATTGGTGTTTAGGGATATAAAAAATAGAATGCTATTATTTCAGGCCTACAAACAATGGGCAGAAAAAGAAAAATTTGAAGATGATTGCACAGAGGAAAAGCAGCTTTGGATTGAAGAACTTCTTCTCCATTCCAGGGACCTTCTGTATAATCTTATTGAGACTAGGAGGGGAGACAAGGTGAGCTGCCTCATATTATTTTATCTTTTCATTAAACATTTTTCTGTGTTACTTCTTTTCAGACGAGTTGGGGATAATTTCATCATGGCATAATTCAGATTACTTTAAATTCTTTTGAATTGTTTAATTTTTACAATGATCATCAGCCAAATAAAACTTTTCAAATGTTTTATTTATTTTTGCTGTAATGCAGATGGAAAGCTGTGTCAAAGTATGATACACAGCAAACTTAAAGAGCAAAAAAGCTAATTCAAAACATAATATACATAAAAATAAAATTTGGTGGATGCCTTTGGGTGCTATTTTTTTATTTCTTTTTTAAAGGCGCGGGTTTTTTAAAATTAGCTATGTGAATCACAATACTTCTTAAAATGGTAACTTAATCAATAGTAGTTACAATTAAATCCCTTTTAGATAATATATATTATGTTTCTATCATATAAGTATTATATCATAATGTGTCAATATTATAGACTATATAGACTATAAAACTGATAATATTTTATTTCCTCTAGTAAGTTTTACCATTTAAATGAAGAAAAGAATTGAAATATAACTCATGTTAGTTTGATAATTTATAGACAACATTTAAAATTAATTATTATTATTTTAAATTAAGAGCCTAATGGAGAGTGTTGAAAAAGAATTGGATGAACTTGACCTGATCATCCATAAAGAGAAATTCTGTAAGTGCCTATACATCCCATGATTTTTTATCAACTCAATATTTTGTTTCAATAAATTTTAAAGGGTTTTTTCTCAATAATTTCATTTATTATTTCATATTTATTTTTATTTCTTAACATTGCCCTATTGAGAAAACAAATAGATTATTAATAATGTATAACACATGCCGCTATCCTCATCATCACAGCAAAATATATTACAATTCAATAGATTTACAGATTGGTTTAGATTTATTGGAATAAATTTTTTTCAGCTGAAATTCAAGACTCATTGTGTGACAGTGGCTATATCCAAACTCCATCAAAATCAGAATTTGATATCAAGTCTCCTTCAAGTGCAAGAAGAAAGCTCTTTGACAGTCCATACTCAATTCAGGTAGGCTAGCTGGAGCTGTGTAACAACTATTCACTTTGAATGAATAATTTGCCTGGTAATAATGAACAAACAAAATTGGTCACATGAAAAATGGGTCTCATTTTTAAATATTTATATTGATAGCTAATTCTTTTATTATATTTGGTCCTATTAGTCAAATAAATCTGTGTCTGCATTTAAATTTATATTTTCAACTCATTTTTACTCAGCAAGACTCAAAAGCTGGTAGTAGATATAGGAGTCAAGTAGTTCAGGTGAACAGATCTCCAACATCTCCTGCAAATGTTCTACATCAAATAAGAAATCTACAAATGAGCCAGCAGCAATTGGAAGGCTCAGTTGTAACCAGAAACAATGCACAGCAACAGAGTACAGAAGGCCTGATTAAAATTATAGCAGAAAGAAATGACCAGATTATTGCTGTTAACCATCAGATGATTAAGGAAGTGTGTGATAGCACCAGTGCAATTAAGGAAACTGTGGAACAGAATTCAGAGCTGATAAAAAATCTACAGGTATGATCCATTGATAAAACAGAAATCTCTATTGAATTAATTATAAAGTCTTGATAATGTGTAAGTTGTGGGAATGTAATGCTTTGTATTACTCATATTGTTTTTACCATATAAATTATTATAATTTTAGATTAACTTTATTATTTTGTTAAACTCGTTTATTCTCCAGAGTTTTGTGGGACAGAGCAAAAATGTAGTGGTAGAGATACAGGTATGTGCTGGTACATTTTTCAACAGCCTTTGATTTAAAACAAATTTATCAAAATATACTTGTTGAAATTTAAACATTTTGATGTCATTTTAAGTCCTACTTAACTTATTCCTCCCACCCCCTCCTTTTTATTTTATCCTCAATAATTTTTTAGAACAAAATCACAATTAAAAGTGAAGCCATAACACCTTAGAAAATGCCTTTTTGAGAATAATTTTTTTTTAAATTTCATTTAATTCAACAAAACTTTTTTATATCCAACATCTTCACTGGTTTATTTCAAAATGAATTTTTCACTGAATGCTTGCGAATTTATAGATTATAAGAAAAACCAGTGAAACATTAGATATATATGATACAACAGTATTTTAGTTGGAAGCATTCTTGAAAGTATTTAAACTTTAGTTAAGGCTATTTTATAGGGTTAATTGTGGTCAACTCATAGCACATAGCTAAATATGTTATTATTGCTATTGGCAAATTGCTTAGAATTATCTCTAATTAATTTTTTTTTAAATAATAAAAATATACTTTTTTTTTAATCCTCATTCTGAAATACATCACCCTCTAACATCTCCCAAATCTCTCAGCCCACTTTGCAATCTTGAAGCCAATCTGTTGAGGTGGCAGCACCTACTTTGAGAACAATTGATTTAAAAAATTGGAAGTTTTGATTTGAGAGATGAAAACAAAACTTGTTTCTAACTATTACATAACAAATATTATTTAGATCATTTTTCACTGAATACATTTTTTAAATGTGTTCAACACTGCATAATTTTCAGAAGGAAATTAAGGACTTGAAACAACAATCACCAGTTGTTCAAACTCCGAGTGATCCTGGGCTAATTCCAAGAACTATGGGTTCACAGTTTCCTGGAGGACATTACCAGCAGCAAAGTATGCTCACACCAAATTTACAACAGCCAGGTGCACCACCTGGACAATACCAACCAGCATCAACTCTCATTGAGCAGAACCACCAGCAAAGTATCGTCACACCACATTTACAGCAGCAAGGTTTACCAACACCTTTTTACCAACAGCCAGTTTTTGTTACACCCAACAACCATGCGCCAGATTCATTTGCAGCACAGCCAGAAGAAGGAAATTTCTTTTCAATGGAGGGACAACAATTTCCAGGAAATTGTTCACAGCCCCAAGTATTGAACACTCCTCAGCAGGTTGGTATTAATGATTAATTGCATTTGATACCTAAGATAGATTGACTGATTTAGAACTTAACATTTTGTGCCATTATGTCTGGATTTTAACCTCCTTTTTTAGGATAACTCTCCTTATTTTTATAAACTATTGATGATCTCAATTAATAATGCTTATTGCTTCTTTAGAATGCTACTGGAATTCTCATTTCAAAAATTAAACCAGTGGGTAAAAAAGAAATGTTTTGAATGAATCGACCTTGTTTTCACTTCCAAAACTTTTTGAAACATATTTTTCTTAATTACTTTGTGTAGCTTTTTTTTTTTTAGCTGGGAATGAAACTAAAAATATATAAAATGATGAGCATGATTATAAGCGCTCGGTTTGCTAGTTATTTAATGTTACTCTCATTAATGGACTCACAAGTGTAGACATAAGTTGAATATGTTTGTCAAATAAATTTTGATAAATGTCATTTGAGCACATTAACAGAAAAAGAACTCTATAGTTATTGATACTGATCAACACAAGAGATTCTGACGTTCCTTATAAAAAAAGCCCCCCCCCACTTACTCCTAAATTATAATTTTCTTTGCCTGTCTGGATCAGGCTAATAATATATTGCATCTTGCCGGTGTTATTAAGTGTTGTGCATGTAAAACCCAACAGCCCCAATTTTTTCAGCCCATGCATTTTTTTTACTATTCTGTAGCTATGATATATTTACAGCATCTCAACAAGAAATCTGGTAAAGCTGAGAGGAAGAATCAACACAGAGTTACTGCTTTTTCCTTGTCTGGCAATAATAAACCAATGCATGGAGCACAAGGTCCAGAACCAGATACATCCACACCTGTGGTGGAAATCTCAGAGGCACTGTTAGACATTGTGTTAGATAAAGTAAAACAGGAAGTGAAATCAGTTGAGAAAAAACAAAGGGAACAAACAGAAAGGGGAAATATCCTTCAAGCACAAATGGAAGAATTCTTTACGGCAAATAGAGAAATGCAAGAGAAATTAAAGGAACAATCGGAGCAGAAAAGAATGGAACAAGTTGAAAAGGAACAGAAAGAACACATGGAACAGTTGATAAAAGAAAGGGAACGTGCCCAGAAACTGGAACTGAAACAGAGAAAAATAGAGGAAGAATTAGACAGAAAACAAATGGAGGATAATAAAAAGTTGGAACAAATGCAAAATGAGATCATGCAATTAAAACGAAAGGAAGAAATTCAACAAAGGGCACTTATAGAACAGGAACAAATGCTGAATAAACAAAGGGAAGAAATCCAACAAAGGGAAGAAACCCAAAAAAGGGAAAAAGCACAAATGGACCTACTGGAAACAATTTTAAGAGAACAAAAGGAGCAAAAAGATAAATTTGCAGAAATTCAAAAACAGCTGGAGGAGTTTAAACTTAAAGAAGAAACCAGACAGAGAGAGCTGATTGAACGGGAACAAACGGAGCTTAAAAAAAGGGCAGTAATCCAACAAAGGGAAGAAATGCAACAACGAGAAGAAGCCCAACAAAGAGAAGAAGCCCAACAAAGAGAAGAAGCCCAACAAAGAGAAGAAGCCCAACAAGGGGAACAAATGCATAGATCAACTGGACAACAACCTAATTATACTACACCCATGGGCAGGAAAATTATCAAAGACCCTAAATTCAAAATTTCCCCACAAAGATCCTCTGCTGACGGCACACTCTTCAGCCAGACTTGGGCATTCAGCAGTACTTCAAGTTTTGAAACATCAGTGAAACATGATCATGACAAAGAAGTAACCAACAGACATGAAAAATCTCAGACAAATCTGAAATCTCTAGCAGCCTTCAAGCCAGCTTTGCAAGACAAGACTGCAATACTAAAACCAAAAGTCACAATGGAATCTGCTAGGTCTGATATGACCTACTGCGACCTTACAGTCAACAAATCTGATCCTAAGTCTACAGAGTCTGTGAGTTATGTTGGTTAATATTCTATCCTTATTTTGGTTAATATATTATCCTTACCTTGGTTAATATATTATCATTATGTTTGTTAATATGTTATCCTTTTTTGGGTTAATATAATATCTCTTTGTAAGTTAAACTTCATTTTCCTGTAAACATTAACTCCTTATATTTGTAGGAATTAGACATTTTTGGTTAAATTCTATTTAGACAAATGCACAGAAGCTTAAAGCAATGTAACAGGTGCATATGATTTCACTTTGTCCCAGTGACAATGATTTCAATTTTTTTAGGAACATTGCTTAATCAAATAACACACTTGAAAAAAACTATTAATGTGATTAACTTTTTAAAAAATATATATTTTTTTATTGATTTTGAAATCTCATAGAAACCTACAGCCACTCATGGTGAAATTTTGCTGAATTGCTCAGAGAAAATGACAGGTAGCTAATTTAGTTTTCATACAATCTATATGTCAACAATAGGTATACCAACTGTAGCAGAGGTGGACAAATCATGGCTGGTGAGCCAATTGTGGCTTTTGACACAGTCTTGAATGGCTCTTTAAAAAAAAAAAAATCATAAAAAGGACAAAAATTACAAAAAAAGAACGTGTAATTTGAATCTTCCATTGCAAATATCACTTCTATTCAGATGATTCGGATAAACTGCGCCCCCTCCACTTTTTCCCATTTATGGCTCCAATGCCTCTGTTACCTTTTAAATTTAAAAGTTGTCTGATAAGGTATCTAAAGTTTATTCATCTGTGATAGGCCTATTTGTGTACAATATCAGCTGATCTTGGCAAGATTTTTCTTGAAACGTTTTAGAATTAATAAAAAATTATTGAATTGAACAGGTAATACACAGTTAATATCACTAAAGTGCCACATTTTTCAATATGACACTGCAACTGGAAAGTGGCAAAGAAAAGTGAGGGGCAACATTAAGATTGAACAAAACAAATTAGAGCAGCAGTTCAGACTGGTGATTACTCACAAGGTATTCATTGATTTTATGTTGTAATATTTTAATAGATAAAGCTGCTTCCTTTTTGAACTTGCGTGGGTAGAAATGATGCCTTCAGTAGTTGATTTAAATAATTATAAAAACTTTCCTTATAAAAATATGGAAGAAAAGTAAAAGTAACTCATAAGTTTAATATAAGGATGAATGTCAATTCATTTACAAAAACATTTTATTGTCTAGAAGTTGCAAATGTTTTTAATTGAAAATGTTTGCTCAAGTTCTTTATTTGAATTGTATAAAGTACTTAATATGTTTTTTTCAAATCTGTCTTACACAGACCAGTGAAATGTTTGCAACACATGTCATCACATCCAACATGAAACTGTTGCTTTTGTCAAAGTCTGATCGCAAACTAATGTTTACATGGGCTGATGCTAACTCTAGATTAATTAAAAAAAGGGGAAACAGTTCTGGAATGAAGGGGAACAACCCCGAGCCATTTGTCATTAAAGTTGTGAACACGATAAAAGCAAAACAACTTCTGAAGGTGTTTGAAGATTGTCTGCAGCAAGTAGGTCCTGTGACAATTGATGATTCCAGTGAAGACTCGAGTGATGTCACCAGTGAAGATCTCAGTGGGGAGGAAACATCTCTACATGAGGCCAACTCTTGCACAGAGTCCCCTCGAGGAACAGCAGCATTCAAAGCACAGAATTCAAGAAAGGTCTTTACATCAAACGCTACAAAGGGTAGGACATGTAGTGATTTAAACTTTAGAATCATAATAAGTTTTATATCTCTTTAATTAAACAAGAAAAAAGTTCTGATGGAACCAATGCCCATAAAATGCTTATTAAAATCCACAAGCATTTTCATAAATTCTGCATTTGATCATTATATAATTTAGAAGGGAAAGTTTTCTTCAAATGCATTTTGTCAAGGTGTTAGAATCACTGAGCTTCTGTTTGTGCCAGGCGGGCATAAGTTATAGGCGTAGGGATACAAAAGGTAAGGGGTCGCACGGTAGTGTGTGCAGGTGGTCAGTAGGTCAGTAGAGCAGGGAGAGCGAGTGGGGTAGAACGCTGAACGTATCAGCGTTATTGTTAGTTGGAGTTGTTAGTAATAGTACCGGTGGTAGTAGTGGTAGTAAACAGTAGTGTTTTGATCCTAGTAGTATCTGTGATTCTTTGGCTAAACTTGTTAGCAGAACCCAGAGTATTTATGGGAGATTACTTAGATTAAATTGTAGTAGATAATATAATAAAGCGCATAATTAATAACCCGTAATAACTCTTGAGTCAAGTGTTTGTGTACTCTTGTGTGCTAGTGTACAGTGACAGTGTATTGTAGTATTGGTAAATTATCATACCCCAAGACAACAGAGCCACACGGACTAAATTCGTGACACATTTGTTAGCCTAAATTCCTTCTGTTTTAGCATATTGACATCAATTTTAAAAATTATAGACTAAAGATAATGTTGGTCTTTTTTAAATTCATAAATTGTAAACGTTTTTTAAGTACAGATTGGAATATAATTATTATGAAGCAATTGTGATATGCTCTTTCTGTTGATAACATTAAGTAATTTGGACATTTCTTAATTTAATACAGAAACTTCTTTTGTATTGTAAGAATCAAACAGCATTTTAATATGTGGTGCTGGCTTACACCAGCTTGATAAAATGTTTTACTGGAACTTTTAATATTACACTCTATTATCTGTCACAATTGTTCATTAAAATAATTTGCAGGTAACGCAGGCCTAATATTTAATTGATTTATAAAGCAACAGGCCTCCAGACTATGAGTGTAAAATATAAAATTGAACCAGAAAAATTGGCTTTGACATAGCTAATGTTTGCTTATTTTTGTAGTGAACATGATAAATAGTCCTGCTCCCATTTGTATTGGACTGGATCATCTATTTCTCTCAAGCTGTTCAGAATATTAAAACAGGGCATTGCAAATTAATTATTTTTGTTCCAATTATAAATGATAATTTGTATTTATATATGAGGTCCATGAAAATAATCAGTCTTTCATGATTCTTTTTAAGGTGGAGCTTCGATTTATTACAATTTTGATAATTTTTTTAGCTTTCTGAATTTACAAAAAGTACTGCTTTCAACAGGATTAACTTTATATGTGATGAGCAGTCATTATCAAGCTGAGGTTGTCATAAAGTATTTATGTTTAAACAATGTTTCAGATGGCAGAATAGATAAGCACAGACCAAATAAGGTTCAAGGCAAGTGTTAACAGCAACATATTTTTTAAGCTTAGAATGTACGATTTTCACCAGAGAAAAGTGATGAGAATAGATTGATACAAGTTATGGTAAATGAGAGTGATGAGAATAGATTGATACAAGTTATGGTAAATGAGAGTGATGAGAATAGATTGATACAAGTTATGGTAAATGAGAGTGATGAGAATAGATTGATACAAGTTATGGTAAATGAGAGTGATGAGAATAGATTGATACAAGTTATGGTAAATGAGAGTGATGAGAATAGATTGATACAAGTTATGGTAAATGAGAGTGATGAGAATAGATTGATACAAGTTATGGTAAATGAGAGTGATGAGAATAGATTGATACAAGTTATGGTAAATGAGAGTGATGAGAATAGATTGATACAAGTTATGGTAAATGAGAGTGATGAGAATAGATTGATACAAGTTATGGTAAATGAGAGTGATGAGAATAGATTGATACAAGTTATGGTAAATGAGAGTGATGAGAATAGATTGATACAAGTTATGGTAAATGAGAGTGATGAGAATAGATTGATACAAGTTATGGTAAATGAGAGTGATGAGAATAGATTGATACAAGTTATGGTAAATGAGAGTGATGAGAATAGATTGATACAAGTTATGGTAAATGAAAGTGATGAGAATAGATTGATACAAGTTATGGTAAATGAGAGTGATGAGAATAGATTGATACAAGTTATGGTTAATGAGAGTCATGAGAATAGATTGATACAAGTTATGGTAAATGAGAGTGATGAGAATAGATTGATACAAGTTATGGTTAATGAGAGTCATGAGAATAGATTGATACAAGTTATGGTAAATGACAGTGATGAGAATAGATTGATGCAAGTTATGGTAAATGACAGTGATGAGAATAGATTGATACAAGTTATGGTAAATGAGAGTGATGAGAATAGATTGATACAAGTTATGGTTAATGAGAGTCATGAGAATAGATTGATGCAAGTTATGGTAAATGAGAGTGATGAGAATAGATTGATACAAGTTATGGTAAATGAGAGTGATGAGAATAGATTGATACAAGTTATGGTTAATGAGAGTCATGAGAATAGATTGATACAAGTTATGGTAAATGAGAGTGATGAGAATAGATTGATACAAGTTATGGTACATGAGAGTGATGAGAATAGAGTGATACAAGTTATGGTACATGAGATTGATATGAATATATTGATACAAGTTATGGTACATGAGAGTGATATGAATAGATTGATACAAGTAATATTACATCATCATCATATTGTGCTTTTAACCAAGTACACTATCCCTTGAGATTTTTAGTTTCTCGAAATTTTTAACATTTTATATGAAAAATAACTTCGTGAAAATGTTCTCTTTGGATTAAATTCTTATTAGTTCCTGGTAATGTTACTATTTGGAGCTTTCTTTCCTGTCAGGCTACTTTCAAAGCTAAGTCTTTTTCTTATTCTTTGTCTTTTTTCGTATGTCAGTGAAACCATTCAGCTGAATGGTTCCATTGTAGTTTTTTTTTGTATTTCTTATTCTTAACATTCCCTTGAATTTGAAAAGTGCAATGATAATGCACAATTGTTTGGCATCATGTGTCTGGTATTTAGACAACCTAATCAGAATGTTAATATTTTTTTTAAAAAATACTAACTGAATTTAGATTTTGATATAAGTTTAATTTTAAAAATAACTCTATTTAATTTGGAAATATTTTCAAAATCTAAGTTCCACTTTGTTAAACCAGAGTTAAACAGATTATGTAAGTTGTGAGTCTTCCAAGCTGTTGTTGCCAACACATATTTAATTTCCTGTACATTTTTTTGTTGCTTTCAGTTGGTCTGGGAAGACAACTTGACCATGGACAGACTTGGACACCAGGCAAGTTACAAAATACAACTTTTCTACTTCTTTTGTTTTTACTTAAACGGGCTCATGGAGAATTAGTCTCTGAATAATTTATTTCATCAGCCCTCAAGCACACTGCACTACATTGGTATCATTGCATAGTGAATTAAAATATGATTTGATGGTTTATTTTACATTATATTACACAACCTAATTTTTATTTCTTCAAATACATACGTGAAAAATGAGTACAATGTGTGACTAATTAGGTCAGTGAATGCTTTCACTAGGAATAACTCAATTCTGTAACTGTGTAAGTTTCCAAAAAGAAATAATGTAAAAAAAAAAATAAAATAAAACACAACGTGTGTAGAATAAAAAAAAATCCTTTATTTATTTCAGATTCGAGTTCAAAATTTGATTTACATACAAGTAAAGGAAACAAAACAAATTTAGCAGATCAAAACCACGGTGGCCAAAAATATGAATTTACAAACAAAGGCAACAAAATGCAACAAACTACTGTTTGTAAACATAGTATATCTTATGATGAAAAGCAAGACAATGAAACAACTAACAAAGAAGATGATGAAGGGCAAGACAATGAAACAACATACAATAAAGATGATGAGGAGCAAGACAATGAAACAACAAACAATGAAGATGATGAAGAACAAGACAATGAAACAACAGACATTGAAAATGATGATAGAGCACAAGACAATGATAGAACAGAAAAAGAAGATAATGATGAACAAGATGATGAAAAACCATGCAAAGAAGATAATGATAAAGAATACAATAAAAAAGAAGACACAAAATATTATGAGGAAACAGACAATGAAAAAGGAACAGAAAACAAGGCAGATCCTAAAGAACAAAACAATAAAACGGAATTCAATGATATTAATAAGAACCAGGACATTGAAAAATTGTCACAACAAAATGAAGGTCATAAGAGACAGAGAAAAGAAAAATTATCAGAAAAAAATAAAGATCCTAAGACACAAGACATTGAAACAGCATTAGAAAAGACTGAAGATCGTAAGAAAGATGAAATTAAATCTGTACAAGAAAAATATCAGGATAATAACAAACAGGACATTATTTCATTATCAGAAGGCAATGAAAGTCAAAAGAAACCTTACAATGAAACAGTATCACAACAAAATGAAATTCTTCAAAAACAGGAAAATGAAACAGTATCTGGAAAAAAAGAAGATCCTAAGAAAGAGGACATTGAAACAACATCAGGCAAAAATAAAGATCCTAAAAAGCAAAACATTGAAACAGTATCAGGAAGCAATGAAGATCCTAAGACAAAAGACATTGAAACAGCAACAGAAAAGACTGAAGATCTTAAGAAAGATGACATTGAAACTGTACTAGAAAAAGATAAAAATAAAAAGAAACAGGACATTGAAACATTATCAGAAGATAATGTAGATCAAAATAATCCTAAAAATGAAAGAGCATTACAACAAAATAAAGGCCTTAAGAAACAGGAAAGTAAAACATTATCAGAAAACAATGAAGATCCTAAGACACATGACATTGAAACAGTATCAGAAAACACTGAAGGTCTTAAGAAAGATGACATTGAAACAGCATCAGAAAAAACTGAAGATCCTAATAAACAGGAATTGGAAACAGGATCAGAAACCAATAAAGATCCTAAAAAACAGGAATTTGAAACAGGATCAGAAACCAATAAACATCCTAAGACAAAATACATTGAAACTGTATCAGAAAACAATGAAGATCATAAGACACAAGACATTAAAACAGCATCAGAAAACACTGAAGATCTTAAACAACAGGACATTGCAACAGTATCAGAAACCAATAAAGATCCTAAAAACAACACTATTGAAACAGCAATAGAAAACACTGATCCTAAGAAAGATGGCATTGAAACTGAATCAGAAAAAGATAAAGATAATAAGCAAAAGGACATTGAAGCATTATCAAATAAAAATGCAGATCAAAAGAAACCTAACAATGAAACAATATCACAACAAAATAAAATCCTTAAGAAACAGGAAAATAAAACATTATCAGAAAACAATGAAGATCGTAATAAACAGGAATTGGAAACAGGATCAGAAACCAATAAAGATCCTAAAAAACAGGAATTTGAAACAGGATCAGAAACCAATAAACATCCTAAGACAAAATACATTGAAACTGTATCAGAAAACAATGAAGATCATAAGACACAAGACATTAAAACAGCATCAGAAAACACTGAAGATCTTAAACAACAGGACATTGCAACAGTATCAGAAACCAATAAAGATCCTAAAAACAACACTATTGAAACAGCAATAGAAAACACTGATCCTAAGAAAGATGGCATTGAAACTGAATCAGAAAAAGATAAAGATAATAAGCAAAAGGACATTGAAGCATTATCAAAAAATAATGAAAATCAAAAGAAACCTAACAATGAAACAATATCACAACAAAATGAAGTCCTTAAGAAACAGGAAAACATTAAAGATCCTAAGAAACAGGATTTTGAAACAGGATCAGAAAAGACTGAAGATTCTAAGAACGATAAAATTAAAACTGTACCAGAAAAAGATCAAGATAGTAAAAAGCAGGACATTATTTCATTGTCAGAAGGCAATGAAAGTCAAACCAAACCTGACATTGAAACAGTATCACAACAAAATGAAAAACTTAAAAAAGAGGAAAATGAAACAGTAACAGGAACCAATGGAGATCCTAAGACACAAGACATCAATACAGCATCAGAAAAGACTGAAAATAATCAGAAACATGTCATTAAAACATCAGAAGACAATGAAAATCAAAAGAAACAGAAAAGTGAAACAGTATCAGAAAACAATGAAGATTATAAGAATCAGGACATTAAAAGAGAAACAGAAAAGAAACAATATCATGGTGGACTAGGTGATGAGTTAGGAAAAGAAGAAGAAAGCAGAGTACAGAATTTAAGGAACAACACTGGGAAACAAACACATTTAATTAAACAATTTCAAAAGAAACAAGATAAAACATTAGAAACAGAAAAAAAAGATGATGTTAAAGAACAAAACATTGAACCAGAAAACAACGTAGGTTATAAGACAAAAGACAATGAACACCAGAAGGAAGTAAATAAATTATATTATAGAGAACAAGATTTAAATACTTCTGAAGAGGAACCACAAACACCGATTGCTGGTGAAGAAAAATGTAGGGAATCCAAAAGAGAATCATCATCACTGGATTTTTTTAGATTTACTACACAGCAAAGGTTTAATACAGAATGTGTAGAAAATATAAGGGAGAACTTGAACAAAGGTCTCAGGGATACTACTGGACAAGGAGCTGATTCAAGACTACTAGTTAACATTGGACAAAGTGCTATTATGAGGCAACCAGGTATTAATGGACAAAGTGCTAATACAAGGCAACCAGGTCATAATGGACAAAGTGCTCATGCAGGGCAACCAGGTGATAATGGACAAGGTGCTAAAGCAAGACAACCAGGTGATAATGGACAAAGAGTTAATGCAAGACAGTCAGGTAATAATGGACAAAGTGCTAATGCAAGACAGCCAGGTAACAATGGACAAAGTGATAATGCAAGACAGCCAGGTAACAATGGACAAAGTGCTAATGCAAGGCAACAAGGTGATAATGGACAAGGTGCTAAAGCAAGACAACCAGGTGATAATGGACAAAGTGCTAATGCAAGGCCACCAGGTGATAATGGACAAGGTGCTAAAGCAAGACAACCAGGTGATAATGGACAAAGTGCTAATGCAAGACAGTCAGGTAATAATGGACAAAGTGCTAATGCAAGACAGCCAGGTAACAATGGACAAAGTGATAATGTAAGGCAACAAGGTGATAATGGACAAGGGGCTAAAGCAAGACAACCAGGTGATAATGGACAAAGTGCTAATGCAAGGCCACCAGGTGATAATGGACAAGGTGCTAATGCAAGAAAGTCAGGTAATAATGGACAAAGTGCTAATGCAAGACAGCCAGGTAACAATGGACAAAGTGCTAATGCAAGACAGCCAGGTAACAATGGACAAAGTGCTAATGCAAGGCAACAAGGTGATAATGGACAAGGTGCTAAAGCAAGACAACCAGGTGATAATGGACAAAGTGCTAATGCAAGGCCACCAGGTGATAATGGACAAGGTGCTAAAGCAAGACAACCAGGTGATAATGGACAAAGTGCTAATGCAAGGCCACCAGGTGATAATGGACAAGGTGCTAATGCAAGACAGTCAGGTAATAATGGACAAAGTGCTAATGCAAGACAGCCAGGTAACAATGGACAAAGTGCTAATGCAAGGCAACAAGGTGATAATGGACAAGGTGCTAAAGCAAGACAACCAGGTGATAATGGACAAAGTGCTAATGCAAGGCCACCAGGTGATAATGGACAAGGTGCTAAAGCAAGGCAACCAGGTGATAATGGACAAGGTGCTAAAGTAAGACAACCAGGTGATAATGGACAAGGTGCTAAAGCAAGACAACCAGGTGATAATGGAAAAAGTTCTAATGCAAGGCAACAAGGTGATAATGGACAAGGTGCTAATGCAAGACAGTCAGGTAATAATGGACAAAGTAGAAGAAAAAAAAAATCAAGAAATAAATAACGGTTACCGTATGTGGATAGGAGAATGAAATGGAACTAGGGAAAATATACAGAATACAAATGAAATCAACTGTATTGGAGCATTGATATCTAGCAGAGAACACAGGACAAAATACAAATGAGAGCAAAGGAGTCCAAAGGTACTACATGACAGAAACACTCAATGATGTTATTAGGAATATTTAAATATTTTGAAAATTCTAACCGCTTAAGATATTAAATAACCCTGAAATTTGATTTGATTCTTTAAAAAGTTAATGTTTTTTATGCAAATGTCCACGTTCATAATGTGATATTGATGTTTTATATATAAATTGTCTTTAAAGGACTTTCCTTTTTAATAGTTTATTAATTTTTATTGTAAAAATCTGTTATTGTTTAAGTCAACGAAATGCAACCGAATATTTTCTAACCTGTAACACATTCACTCTGTGTAGGCATGCATTCAAATGAAATTGTAGACTAACATGCTTTCTTGTTCGCTGGATTACCTGATTCTAAGTAGCTAAATCCTCTTTTTTAAATGTAAATGTTTGCACAAGTTCATTCATATAAAAATAAATAAATATATCTCTGCCTTATTTTTTTTGTTAAATGTTTATTTTATGTTTTTGTTCTCTTTTGTAGAAAGAAAAAATATATAATTGTTAACTGTAAACTTGAACACCTGTTTTTCAATTTTTGTGTTGTTTAAGTTTAAGCGGTTGGCAATATTATTTCATTGAGAATATTTTTTCTGCTGAAAACAGAATAAAACTTTGGAATTTACAATGAAAATTACAATGACAATTTCTTTATCTACACTATTTGACTAAAATCACTGGTTTAATTATATTTCCTGCACCAATTGAATGATTTTTTTTAAACTGAGAAAAAAAAACCACCATTTGATATTTTTCTTAACACAAGACATTGAAACAGAATCAGAAAGCACTGAAGATCTTAGAAAGATAACATTGAAACAGTATCAGTAAACAATACAATTTCCCAAAACGCTAGGTACTCATGGACACACCCACGGGCCCTGGTACTCGGGCACACCCATTCAGTAGTAAGTATTATGATGTCATTGCAAAGCTACAGGAAGAATTTGATCACATTTTGTATGACTTCAACACACACACAGCCATTTTTCAACTTTTTACTGACGCTTTCTTCTTCAATGTAGAAGATGCCAACCCACTCTTATCCTTACCCCTTTGCGCTTCAAATGGAGCTGGTTGATATTCAGTGCAATTCTAAGTTAAGGGAGTTGACTGGAAAAACAGACGAGCTTGGAAAATTTATTACAGTATTGCCCTCACTTTTCCTGAGTTTTCCAGGTTGTTTAAGCGGATCATGTGCCTTTTGGGGGTACTTATCTGTGTGAAAAGCTCTTTTCCACTATAAACTTAAGTCAAAGTTCAGGGCGAAAATTACCGATGGGCATCTTGAAGTTCTACTGAGGGACCCAGTTGCTTCCTTCTTCAAGCCAAATGTTGCTCAGCTGTGTAAGAAGAAGCGCTGCCAGGTCTCTGGCAACAAGGGGTAGGAGGAAGAATGTGAAGCCTGGTTCTTGAGAAACCTTACTGTTTTTATTTGTTATTAATAAAATTTGAGCAGATTTAAAAAGTTTTACTTTATTGAATAATTTGTAATCGCTCTTTTATGGAATACTTTATGCGTCCCAGTCTGACTCAGACTCTACCTCCTGCGTCCCCCATATGATTTGAGTTTGAAACCCCTGGTCTAAAGCGTTTTTGCGCAAGACAAAGTGTCTAAAGCCCTTTTGCGCAAAAAAAAACAAAAAATTCTAAAGCCCTATGGAACTCGTATAGAGATACGTTGGAGACGAAATTTTGAAATGTATGCTTTTACTTCTATCTCTGTAGAGTATGTACATTTATTTTAGAATTAAAAACATAATATTCTTTTTTCCTAAATCGTATTGGATTGTTTGATAGATTTCATCACTTTTTTATTTAATTTTGAATTTCTTTTTACTTTTTTTTTTTCGTAAAATAAAGATAAAATTTCGAAATGTAAGTAGGTTAAAATTTTATTTTAATTTCAAGCTATAAAAAAATAACTTTTGTTTTGTTGTTAGGATTGCACTGAGTATAGTCACACAGTTATGAGCAAATATTGGTTCTGTAAAGAGTTTGCATATGTCATAATTCAATTTAGCGCCTGTGTTCTGCATTGCTTAAGATTCTGACGTCAGCACGCTCAATTTCGTTTACAACATAAAAGGTATCCGATAGCAGGCGATTTTTTTCTTCTGGCCCAGTAAAGCCCGCCCCGTCCGTGGCGCCATAAATATCATCACAAAAATGTCAGCCCCTCTAAAAAAAAAAAAGTTACCGCCCCATGGGTTTGAGAGTTTAGACCATGTCAAATTTGTGCTGTTGACTTCAATTATTATGGTACAAACCGTTGCTATTTAATTTTTTAAAAATGGCATGTACAATAAGCCGATAACACGATCGTCTTAAATTAAGAGAAGTGACTGCTACCATTAACATACTTAGCACTACATTTCCTGCTACCATTAACATACTTAGCATTACATGTATGCTGGAACAAGCCGGAAACTAAACATTGCTAATAGTAGGGCCTACCAAAAGTCTGCTTGTATTTCAGAGAGAAAGAGATTACCTAACAAGAACGTCAGAAAGTTCTCCGGAAAATACACTGTCCAACATAGAATGAATATGGGTGGATAATACGAACAAATCAGGATTAGTGTACAGTCTATATCAGGCTACCACGCTAGTGGAAGAAATAAAAAGAGGCAGGCTACGCTGGGCAGGACACTTAGAGGGAATGTCAAATTATAGAGGAATGGAGAGGGTGCACCACCAAAACTACAGAGGAAAACGGCTCACAGGCAGACCTAGGCTTAGATGGATGGATGATATGGAAAAGAAACGCATTAAATCAGTCTAAGTGGAAGGAAGTGGAGTAGTAGTCAACAGCAGTGGCGTAGCTAGGGTTGGTGTCACCCGGTGCGGTAAACTCATGGTGTCACCCCCCAACCCCCCCCCCCACCAAAAAAAATAAAATAAATAAATAAATAAGCCCTCCATGATGGATTTCTTCTTGTTAAAATAAGTCCACAGTATAATAATGACAAGAACAAAAACACATAAATTGAAGGTCAAGAGATCAATGTATTTAAAAACTGTAACAACGTTAAGTTACAGTGGGTTTTTTTTACATTAAATTTACTTCATTTAAAATGTTGCTTTTCTTTGTCTTCAGAGCTGCAAACCTGTCAATCACTTTATCAAAATCAATGTCCTTCACTCAATGGCGTAGCTAGGGTTGGTGTCACCCGGTGCTGTAAACTCATGGTGTCACCCCCCCCCCCCAAACTTCTATTATCGATTTTTTCTTGTTAAAATAAGTCCACAGTATAGCATCAACCTTGAACTTTTAATAAAGCACGCATTTGGATTGGTTAAATTTGTGAAAAATATATGTGTGATCGGTTATTCTTTTATGAATCTAATCGATTTTTTCTTGTTAAAATAAGTCCACAGTATAGCATCAACCTTGAACTTTTAATAAAGCACGCATTTGGATTGGTTAAATTTGTGAAAAATATATGTGTGATCGGTTATTCTTTTATGAATCTCGATTTTTGCGAGCAATGTGTGCCCTGTAAATATGCAATTTTTCAATCGGGTGTCACCCTTAAAATGGTGTCACCCGGTGCGGTCCGCACCCCCCGCACCTCCCTCGCTACGCCACTGCCTTCACTGTATCACTTTCAATTAATAGCAGAGCCACATCAGAAAGCCTAGACTGTCCCATAAATATCATAAATATTTATTGATAAGCCTTAGTCTTTAAAAGCTTCGCTCACAAGGCCTAGCGAGAGCATTGGAAGAAATTCAAGAAAGTCCCATTCAGCTATGAATTTCAAAACATCAAATACTGACCAGTCCATGACTTTGTGAAATTCAATTTAAGCTGCCTTTAGATGTTTTCTAAACCTTGGTATTTCTTTTAAAAGTTCATCTTCTGATAAATCATCATAGAAATAAGTTATTTTTGGAACGGACACCAATACCTCTTCTTCACTTGCTGATACTAGACTCTTGGGTTGAACAGCCCCAAGCATATCTGCTACT